ACTTCAAATAACTGAAGGGACGATGAATGGAAAAATATAGAGAGATGTTATTGACAAAAATCTGCTGACATCTGCCAGGATGACGATGTTGAAACAAAGGTGGACATTTGAGTAAGACAATGACCCCAAACACACAGCCAACTCATTTCAAAGAAAGAAAATAAAGCTGCTAGAACGGCCCAGTCAATCACCTAAAATCTATGGAAAGAACTAAAGAAGAGTTCATAGAAGAGGCCCATGAATCCATCAAGATTTGAAGACTTGTGTGAAAGAATGGGCCAAAATCACAGCTGAGTGATGAATGTAACTAAGGAGGCGTCTTGCAGCAATCGTTGCCAACAAAAACTTTAGTACACAGAATTAAATAAGTTTCAGTAAATGTGTTCAATACTTTTTCCCTGTGTCATTTTACATCTATGGTTTGATTTCTGTGTCTGATTGGATTGCATGGATTGTTACCAACATCTGATGAAAATATAATGTCAAGAAATATATTTACTGAGAAACATGGTGACGGGTTCAATGATTATTTTACCCACTGTTCCTAATACACTTTGAACCCAATTGGACCACATAGCAACCTTTAGGCCTACACTCCCACTACCTGCTTTGTAATATAATGGGTAAGTAGTAGTGATTATAAAAACATTTCAAATAATTAAGGATCATTTTGGAGAGGGAAAAATACAAAGAATTTATTCTTAGAAAAAAATGTTATATTAAAAAATGCTCTTACAGTCCTACCACTGGAACAAATCACAGCAATCGGCTGATTTTTCATAAAAACAAACACTAAAGAAAAAAAACTAATTCCCAAATTTGTTCATCTCTGCTAGAGAGCGGTTTAGCTTAAAAGTATGTATAAAATTAGATCTTAAGATATATATCAGAATTAAATTATTATCGAGTTTTAAAAAAAACAGTTAAAAGGTTGATTTTAATAATCTTCATTCTGTGTTTTTTAAGATTTTCTCAAACAATAACATAATAAAATGTACCCTAAAAAAATTAAGTAAAAAAAACAAAAAAAAAACAACAACAACAACAGATGAAGCCAAATAAGGCAGGAGAACTAAAGGGTTGATTTACTTTCGCCTGTACACGTATAAAATATAGCAAAAATACTACAAACTCTGAATGTTGTACCTGACAGATGCTGGGATATAAATACAGAATCAGTGTTTAATTTAAAAAGGTAATATTTCACATAAAAAACATCCGTCTTTCGAAAACATTTCAGTTATAAAACATCCACTTTAAAGTGAACGTATAGAGAAATAAGCAGCAGCTGAAAGGCTCTAACTGGTCAGGCAGTTTCCTTCAAAATTTTATGAGAAGTTTCTAACAAAAAAAAAAAAGAAAAAAAAAAAAAAGAAAATTTCTGGGTTTTAAAATAATACTGATCAGAAGATCTGAGCCTCAATCAGACATGTTAGTTTTCCTCTCTCTTACCAGGGTTCCAGAGAAGCTGCACAGCTATGCTCACTCTTCTCCTCTCTCCTCCAGAAACACCTCTAACATAATCGTTTCCCACCCTGGTGTTTGCACATTGCCTAAGCCGCAGCTCTGCGATCACATCATCCACCTGTAACAACAGGAGCCACAATCCTCATTAAACATGGGATTCTTTTTTTTCCCCCTGTCATCAATCCATGAGCAGCCTTATTTACCCTCTGGTCCCTCTGGGCCTGTGTGAAGTGAGTGGGGAGCCTCAGTTTGGCAACAAAGCATAGGGTTTCCCTCACAGTGAGGTGAGGAAGGAGCCGGTCGTCTTGGCGAACGTGAGCAATGCTTTTCTTCACTAGCTGGGGTGTGTTGCGCTTCCCGTTTATCAGAACCTGACCGGAGGTCATTGTGCCACCCTCGTCCCTGCAGGTTATGATATCCAGCAGAGACGTCTTTCCACAGCCTTAGAGAACAATTAGAGCACAGAAAAGATAGAAACCAAACTTTAGTCAACAACAAAAAGAAAAAAGGAAACAAGACAGCATGAATAATGAAGACAATGAATAGGGCTTCTGTTTGGTTATGTGGAAATCCAACATTAAACAGTTTAAAAATTGCTGACATTAATACATTTGGTCTCTGCTTTTAGGACTTAATTTATCAGGTTTGGTTAAAAGGTTGTCAGGTTAACATATGTACACATTTTTTATTTCATTTTCTCATCTTACTGTCAGTGTGTTTTAATGAACAATGAAAGGTAGAGCATAATTATGAAAAAGGGAGCCTTGGTTTTCTTTTCTTTAAACAATTAAAATATCTAAAAATTGTGGCATGATTTGTCTGCATCCTCTCTCAAGTTAATGCTTTTTTGAAACATATTTTGCAACACTTCATGCTTCAAATAATTCAGCATGTCCCTGCTTGTAGAGATGGATCTGTATTAAAGATTTTCCTTTCTTTTTTGGAAAATCTTTCTTTCTTTCTTTTTAAATATCTAAACTGGATTTTCTCTTGTTTTTTTTTTGCAGAATTGCTCAAGCTTTACTCATAAAGCATCAAGTTTAAAGTCAGATACCACAGATTCTTAATTGTTTTTTGTCTGTAAATGTCTGAACATTTTTTTTCCCCCCAGTATTTACCTATTTCAGCTCCAGCCATCCTCTAATTAACCCCTATCACCTTCCTTCTCCCTATCAAAAAATTATCCCCACAGCATGCTGCTGCCACCATTGTGAGTGAGTTGGTTTTCTACAAATAAAAAAAAATCAGATTATAATTGGTGGTGCTTTATTTAATTCAGAGGTTTCAGGGTTTTTAGTGTACTTTTTATTCCTTGTGTTGTTCTATCCCCTAAAATCTCAAAATAACACACTGAAAATGGTTGTTGGAACCTAAAAACTGAGGTAAAAATACTTTTCAAGCTATTGTACCATCTGGTATCTGTAAATACAAATTTTAAAGGCTTTATTTAAATAAATTAGACAACTGTAATAAATATTTTTAGAGAGTTACCTACAAAAAGACATAATTACACAGTCTAGAATAAGCACATCAAAACAAGGATTATAGGGATTGAGTGCAGATTTATTTATTTTTTCCTCGTAAGCAGAGGCACCCATATTAAGCATTTCTTCTATATTTTGTAAAGTTTATTCAGAAACTTTTAAATGCAGAACAGGATTCTTCATGGTGAGTTAATTTTACTTGGAAAAGCTAATTTTAATCTGAATAAAAATAAAACTACATGCAATCCAAGCAGTACGGTTTTCATTGAAACATGAATGAGAAAGCAGATGCGCTGCTATAAACCAGCTGAGATATTTTGTGTTCTATTTCATATGTGGAACAAAAACCTTTTCTAAAACAGGACATACAGTCTGTCCTCTAAAAAGATAAACTATTCATTAAAATCCCAGCTAGTTAATATGTCACCTGAGCTGCCAATGACTGCCAGCATCTGTCCACTGCGGACTCGCAGGCTCAGGTCGTTGATGGCCGTCTGCTTGTCCCCTTTTAACTCCCAAGGCAGTTTGAATTCTGACAGCTTCTCATACCAAGGAATCTGGGCTGCCGTGTCCACCTAAAAGCACAGACACTCAGTTATTCCTGGGCTTAGATGAAGAGCTTCAGTAAAAGGCTGGGAACAGATTTCAACCTCATAGTGTAAATTGGTGACTTCCAGCTCGTTGCACTCTCCGCTGTAGGTGAAGTACAGACTGCTGTCCTCTTCAGACGAAAACAACTCCACATCTGCTTGCTGTTACAAAGGAGAAGGCAATTCACTCTAAGCAACAGTTTCTCTTCAATTAATGTAATTATCAAAAACAAACATTTTTTTTAGATATATGCATTCAAAGTGTTTGAACAATGAGATAAACTTTTCACTGTTTCTATTTTTTCAGTTTGTTTTTTGCAGAAACCTCTAAATCCATTTGTTGGTTTGAATCTTATCAAATTTCCTTGGCTTTGTATTTGCTGTGATTTTTTATAAAGATCAGACTAAAATCTTCTGTCGCATCACAGCCAAAATTGACAGTGTTTTCTTTTTTTCCCATGAAATAGGTACATTTTCCATTGATTTGAACTGATAGGTAGGACTTATTATTTACCATAATGTAACAAGATGAGTTACATTTAGAAATAAGGGAAAATAAATATTATATTGTTTAAAATGTATAATGATCTTATTTTAAGGGTTGAAATAGTCATTACCACCGGCAGATCATCTTGTTACCCTGATAAAATTGAGGGCAAATAGAATTATTTTAATAATTTCTAACTCATTTTTAGATCAGTTTTTGCACTGGCTGTTAAGTGTTTCCACTTAACCGCACATGTTCTGCTTACATTGGCATGCAGTATCTGAGTGCAAACAGTTGCTAAAGACCCACACTGATTCATAAGTCCACTTGAAATTAAAACTTCATAAAACAACATGTATCTTAAGATTCATCGTTTCCAAAACATGTGACATTTTTCGCCTCATCATTAACAAGTGTTTAATAATTAGCCACATATTGCTAAGGAAATAAATTATAAATAAATAACATTAATCCTAAAGTTGCTCTTTTTTCACCACCCTTTATTCAAAGTTAGAAGAAAACCAAACTGAGTATGGAAGCACATAAAAGGACAGTGGGAAGCGAATCAACATGAAGTTAATGTGAACGTTCCTAATAAAAGGAATATGTAATATTCATATGATTAGATTTTTCTGTCCTGACTGACCTGGGAGAAGCTGCTGTGCCTACGAGCGGTTTCTGCATCCATGATGAAGCGAGCTCGGTTTAACAATCCCTCAAACACAAAACTCCAGTCCAGCTGAAGGTCTCTTGTAGCTCCTTCTTCTCCAAGACATCCAAGTTCATGTCGTGTCACTGCTTCATCTGCATTATCCTCAGTTAATTCTTATGTAGAAGCAGCCCCATAATGTGAGGACTAATGTGAGACTTGGAGTCTGTGAATGAACTTAACCTGCCTGGGTTTTTTCCCTTTCTATGTCTTTGCACAACTCCAGATCAAAGTTCTCAGAGATAACGGGTATTAGCAATGTTTTTATGGTTCTGAGGGACACCATTGACCCTGCGCTGTCGCTCTTCAGAGCACAGCTGGACAGAAACACAGTCTGAGACCTCAGGACTGTTGAAAGATTGATATTCAGTTGTCGTTTGGAAGAAAAGATCGATCAGAAACATGGAAAGTTTTTATTCTCTGGAAGCGGAGGAACCCCAGAGCAGGAGTAAAATTGCAGGATCACTCAAGTTTGTGTCCGAGGCGCAAGGAGATGTGTGGAGAGAAGGTGGAGAGGGCAGATCAGAGCCGTCCTGCTCTCTCAGTGTCAGAAACCTCTCCTACACTGTCAGGTAAACAGCATTTGAACTGAAAATCAGAATATATGCAGGTTGTTTCCGATTCAAAATACATTATTAACACTATAAAATATATTCAGCAGCAGATAAAGGTTTATATGTATCTTTACAGCATGGAATATCTCCTATGTCTGTCTGTAGTGAGCGTGTTGGACCATGGTGGGACTTATCCTCCTGCAGGAAGCGGTGGACTCGTCAAATCCTCAATGACGTCTCCTTCCATGTAGACAGTGGGCACATTATGGGTATTCTGGGTAATTCAGGTTCGTGCACAGGTCAAAAGAGCAATGAGTTCAGTAGTAGCTGTCTGCTCTAATTTCATCAGATGTGGAAAAAACCCCGATATAGGTATTCAAAGAACGAAAAAAAAAAAAACAATGTTGAAGAAACAGCAATTTCCTTTTACAAAATATTAATTAGCATTGCATTTATTATATTTTTAACATGCAGTTAGCATGCATGTTTCATTAGTGCTAATTTACAATCTAGTCCATATAGGGTAGCCAAACACAAACTGAATAATTAACAAAATAGATATTTCTCAAATTAATGAACAAACTTGTTTAAAACTGATGAAACTAAACAATAAAAATCACAGTATAAAGGACTGTATTCATTTGCTTTTACGGATTTTTCAACCACATTTATCAGAGCTGCGTAGGTAAGAGAGTTCTGACAGCTCCAAAGATGAAAATGGGCAATATTTTAGAGAACTATTTAGAGAAAAGAAATTCTGCAAAAAAAAAAAAAAAAAGATTAGGTTGGTTTTTTTTTTTACACACTTTTTTAACAGAAAAATCAAGAAGAAATTTACCTTCTCTTTTTACACAATATTGTTTTTGCAGGCTACAACTTAAGATGAATTAGTAAAAAAAATAATTAAGATTTTTACTTATATGTTTTACCTATGCATAAATATGTCCTCCTGTACTTGTGAGCACCAGGAGCAGAAAGAGAAAACAGGTGGATTTCATTCCTCTGGCTCTGGCTGTGCTTAAAGTCGAATCACGTGCTCCATGTTGATCATCAATGATTGTGTTTTATTTGGCTTTATGAAGGTTCGGGCAAAACAACCCTGTTGGATGCCATTGCTGGTCGGATTGGAAACGTCGGCACTCTGCTAGGTGAGGTCTTCATTAATGGCAGAAAACTCAAGAGAGAAGAATATGAGGACTGCTTCTCATATGTCTTACAGGTAACATGGGAAGATCAGGCCTCAGCATGTGAACGCAGAAGTCAGCTTGATGTCTGATTATTAAATTTAATTTGATTGCTACAAGTTTTTCAAATAATTGACCTAGAGAGGACAATTACTTCTTCTATTATCAGTTCATTACAATACAAACTTTAAACTGCCCCTGACCCAGAAAATATTAACAGATTACAAAATACAAATAATTAGAGCTGTAGATTTCAAAAAAAAAATTTTTTGCAGTAGGCTACTTTAAGAAAATAATTAATTCATATATGTTTTTTTTTTTTTTTTTACTTTTGATCTAACATCCCATAACAGACAGCTTTGTCCCCCACACCTATATAAATACAGCTCCCTCAACTACCTCATCTTGTGGTGGCATCCACATATTTCTCATAAAGCTCTGTTTGTTGTATTTTTGTGTTAGACTTTTACATTCCTGAAAAGACAGTAGATGTTTGTGAATTCAGGTCAGGAGCTTTCTTTCTTTTCTTTTTTTTTTCTTTCTTTTTTGCTTTATAAATTTGAGTGACATCTGCTTTAGTTGAGGGACATGTTCTCCCATTTTTTTCTTCTGATTTATGAAGAGTCATATAAATGGAGCTCTATGTCAGCCTTATTTGTTCTCAAGAGAAATGGGAAATAAAAGTTTATAAAAAAAAAAAATTGACTTAAAAAGGTTTAAATGTATTTTATAAGACTTGAAAGAGGCATAAATACTTTTTGCACTAGTTGAATATATTTAAATGATTTTTAAACATCTTTACTGGTAATTTCAGAACTTGCAGAGGATGCTTAGACTCCTTTCTATTTTAGATCACATACACAAAGACACGCACCCTATGGCTACATCTCCAAATAGGCCGCCCTGCCCTCTTTATGAAATTAACCAAAGACCCCTGATAGCCTCCTCATACACTTAATCTCTCAATGAGAGCTGCTCATGTGTGTCCAAAGCTTGAATTAAAAACTGTAGTTATAAAAACTGGCTTTGCTTCATTTCAAATCATCTCTCTCTCCTCTCGCCGATAGCAAATCCTTCTGTTCTCTAAGCTTTGTCATTAACTTCCACAGCTAAGCCATAGATGAGGAGGTGATGTGAGCTCCAGATATTAAAGTCATTCGGAGGAGACAAAGAGGAGGACTGGGACCAGGGGCTGTTCCATGTGTTAATTGAAGCAGGCAGTAGGTTCAGCTGCTTGAAGTGTGCGAGTCTAACAAGGTTATTTGCAGAGAGGAGCTGAGACTCTTAACTATTAGTTTAAAAAAGTGGGACCATTAACAGTACATTTCAACAAAACATCTTTAACTTTATTTGATTCAAACCAAGTGTCAAGATAATCACTTCTATTTAGACGCAGCAGTCAAAAGACAGAAAAGTACATTGAGATATTGAGTTAGTGTTGATAGAAATTACCCCAAAGCATCACATTTGTTAGATTCAATGCCAGCACAGGAACACCATAATATGTTATGCAATACCTTCATATTTAACGTCCTCCACAGTGGGGTTGGCAAATATGTTATTTAATCAAATACCTTTTGGACTGTCATATATTGTTCTGTGAACTCATGCAAGAGTGGCTGTGTGTTAGAAAAACAAATACAAGGGTGAACTCAGCACAAATCATGGTCAAATAGATAACTCTGCACACATATGGACAAAATTTAAAACGCCCTTTCAAAATATACAGATTTATTAATGAATATAATCATAATCAACAATGACATGTATTATAGCATTTGAAACAGCTTGTTTGTTGAAACGTCATTTGTATGTTAATAAACTCAGCTTTATAGAGCATACCATACCATTTATATAAAAATGGAGGAATAATTTACTTGAAAAGGAGCATCTATTCATACAGGCATTTTTACCTTTCTGCCTCATTGAATCTCTGTTTTGTGTCCTCGTATGATTTTAAACAGCCTGTTTTCCTTGCTGTCTGGTTTTCAGAGTGATAACTTGCTGAGTTATTTGACAGTGGAGGAGACTCTGACTTACACTGCACAGCTGGCACTACAGAAACACTCAGCAGATGCCATCAAGAAAAAGGTGATTTTTATTTAAGACTTTTGTGGTTAGTTTTTTTTTTTTTTTTTCTTTTTTTACTTAGAGCAAAACTTTCAAAGACCCTAGATGAAAATAGCAAAATAAAAAAGCTCTGGTTATGATCTATGAAACATAATTCGACTCTTCCGAAGAGATCAACTCTAATTTTTATTTTTATTCTTAAAAGAGTTAAATGTTCTGCCACTCAAATAACGAAGAGCTATCTGGCATGGATAATCAGTTTATATTGTCAGTAATATCTGTTCTCTGACCTTGACCTGTGGTCTACATGTAGGTGTTGGCAGTGATGGCTGAGCTGAGTCTGAGTCATGTGGCACACAGTGTTATTGGAGGTCGAATTTTCCCAGGGATCTCTGGCGGTGAGAGACGGAGGGTCTCCATCGCCAGCCAGTTACTTCAGGATCCAAGTAAGTTTTTTCCACTGTTAGGAAATAACCTAGCAGAGTACCAGACATTTCTCAAAGGTCTGAAACAGACTAAAATCCAAATGGTGAAATGGAGAAGAAATGGAAATTATTCCTTAAATCCTCTGAGATGATGCAATGGTTAACAAATGCTTATTAAAAGGAGATTTTTAGGTTTTAAATTGGATTTTGATAAGTGTTATTATTCGCGATTAAATTATTTTAATTTTAATAAAGTAATAATTAGTTATTTCATTTATTGCAGGGACAGTCACATATGTCAGAGTTAGCCAGAAGGCTTTTTTTCCACCTGCAGTTACTATAAAGATGCAAAAAGAAAAGTAGCCTACTCTAAAAAGATAAGAGTAAAACTATATATTTACATCAGCAATTTATTTCTAACAACATTTATCACTTTCTAACTACGTTTTGGTAATAAATCAACCAACACATTTTGATTATAATCCATCTGAATATTTGTTTGTGCTTTAAAGAAAAATATAGGAAAAATCTGTGCTTGAATTTTTATTGAAACCTACTAGTTAAGGCAGTTATTTTTGTTTTTTCCCTAACTATACCATGCATAAAAGTACAAAATGCAAGCAAGATGTAAGAGAACTTTAGTGTAAAATGACAAAAGTTCACCACATGACCTGTATCTCACCCCAAGAGTTTCAAAGTCCCCCTTGAAGAAAACAAAAAACTGAGTAGTATTTGGATAAGGAAAGGACAGAGGAAAGGGATGAGGAGATTGAGAAGAGTATTAAAGGACCGGGTTATCACACCATGAAGAGAATGAGCACATGCCCATTTCAGTGTGTGTGTCTGTGTGTGAGGATTCCTCCCAGGTGTGATTTATCAGGTCTACAGTGCTCTAGGGAGGACTGAGGGTCTTAGTCCTCATTCAGGATTAAATGGCCAAGAACACACACACACATTCCCAGAGAGTCAGAGTCAGAGTAATGAGAAGTTCCCATTCGCTGCCTCTCCAATCAACCAGGAAATGAATTAATCTCACAATTATAGCATCTACTAATTCCACTCTGCTTTCATAATGCAAAGAGGCAATCTTTTAACTGTCCTAATTAGAGCAATTACCTAAAAAATAGAGAACTCACTTATCTTCATAAGTTAGGTTGAACCTAGAGAGAGTCCTGCAAGTGCCACTTTATATGAAGTACAGCTGAAAGTTTGCAACTTGAGCCAGTAGGAGCTGTTGTCCTACCTTTAACTTGTGCTTAGTGTTTCATTATGTGTCAGCGATGAGGTCACTGGGATGGTGTTTCTGCAGGGGTAATCTTACTGGATGAGCCAACCACTGGCCTGGACAGCATGACGGCCAATCAGATTGTGGTACTGCTGGCGGAGCTGGCTAAGAGGAACCGCATCGTCATTGTGACCATCCATCAGCCCCGCTCAGAGCTCTTCAGGGTATGTTTTAGGATGAGAAGTAAAGAATTAACATAAAGTCTTTTCTGAAGGACAGCTAAAAGACAAAGATTTGCTCATTGAAGTACCTATTCGTTGTAATTCTTCTGCAAAAACAAGCTCTGATCGATTCTTTGCAAATCAAACTGATTCAAATCTATTCCACATAATAAAAAGTAGCAAAAGTCTAAAGAAAAGCTTCAAGACACTTTCAGATATGCAAACAACTACTTGCTTTATAATGCACAGCATCTCATAGAATATTCACACCCCTAAAACCTTTTCAGATTGTGTTGTTTTATAAGAATACACAAAATCTCCAAAACTAAAAGGCTAAGCTGCCTCAGTAGCATGGAGTCAAGCTCAACAGAGAGCTGCTAATAATTTCAAATTTTAAGCAGGTGTCAAAAAAACTGGAGGTTAAAACAATTTTGTTGGACTGTTCAAAAGACTTGAGACTGAGGTGAGGCGCCATCTTTTAGTGGAACAACACTGGACATACAGCCTGAGCTAGAGAGGTTTAGATCAAAGAGCATTAGTACGTAGATTACAATGCTGCTTTTCACATAGGGTCCCCATCTAATCTGACTTCCAGGTTTAGCTTCAGCAAAAAGTGGTTGAACAAAACAAATACATTTAAGACTTTGATTTGAATGTGACACAATGAGCAGGTAAAAGGGGTGGTTATACTTTTGTATACCACTAAATAATCCGTTCTGATGTGTGTTGGCCTCTCAGGTGTTCAGCAGGATAGCCATAATGAGTCGGGGGGAGCTGGTGTTTTGTGGTCAGCCAGAGGAAATGGTGGATTTCTTCAGCCAATGCGGATATGAATGCCCAGAGTACTGCAACCCTTTTGATATCTATGGTATTTATGACGCAGACAAATTATTTAACACATATTTTGCTGCATAAGAGAACACCATGCATGTGCAGCAATAGTGATTGAAAACAAATATGGTATCAAACAGTTGACTTCACCTCGGTGGACACGCGCAGCAGTGAGAGGGAGGCCGCCACGTTTAATCGAATGCACGAGATCACCTCCGCCTATCAGAGATCCGCAATCTACCAGAACATGCTGGAGGAAATGGAGCAGAGCCTGCAGATATCAGACAAACCTGCCATTCCTTTTAAAAACAAAGAGTCCCCCAACGGCGCTGCCAAGCTTGGAGTTTTGGTTAGGTCTGTAAGATTTACAACAGTCCTGTTAAGGGTGTTTGATTAACAAACATTTATTACAAATTAAAATATGTACATAGACATTGTTGAAAAGTAAATATTCAAATCTAAATTGAATGTTTTTAATGTGCCATTTTTTTATGTTTAGGCGAACAGTTCGAAACCTTTCCAGAGACAGGATTGGTGTCGTAATGCGTCTGTCCCAGAACCTGATCTACGGTTTCTTCGTAGCCTTCTTTGTCATACATTTAGACATGGATGTGACCAAGGGTGCAGTGCAGGACCGAATAGGAATGATCTATCAGTGTGTGGCTGCTTCACCCTACACTGGCATGCTCAACGCTGTTTCTCTCTGTGAGTCAATCAACACCACATGCATCTTATAACACTAAAGTCACAAGTTAGTAGCTGCATTTCTTAGCAAACTCTTAGCAACTCTTCCATTTATTTTCAAAGTACAACGAACTTTATTTGATTTTGTTTTTAAGATTTTCTCTTGTAGACCAATACAAAATGGTGGAGTAAAAAGATAAACATTGATGCTAATTATTTAATCTAAAAAATATCATTTGAATTCAGCCCCTTGAGTCAAAACAGGAGCAAATTCTAATTTTCTTCTAAAGATTTATATTTGTTCCAGTTTTCTGTAATAAGGATTAGGGTTATTAAATAGACAATGTTATTGACCTTCAATGCTGATTTAGATTCCAGGAGGACTTATTTCTCGTTGGGGACCTCTAAGGTACTAGCTGACCAAAAGGCCTGGGAGAATTGGGGGGAAATCAGACAGGATACAGAAGGAGACTTTTGGTTGACCTCAAGGAAGTTCTGACAACCTTCCAGAAAGAGGAACTAGTGTTTGGATAATTTTCAGAGCGAGGATGTTGTTAGGCCGATGAACCACCATGGGAGAGAGCGTGCCTCTTTGGTCTACATCTGGACAGGGCCTACTACCATGTCCCCTTAGGTATTTTGTTGGGATTGTAACAAGAGGGTGGAGTAGCTGGGATTTTAAGAGCCCTCCGATCATTGTAGGCCCAAAGTATAAACTGTGTCAGCATTTTCTACATGGTCATGCCTGATCTCCTTGTCACTAATCCCATTTGTGGTGTTCATAGAGAGGATCTTAAGGCATTTCCTGGAAAGGGGTGAGTTTTCCCCTCTAGATTGGGAGTAAGTCTCCACCACAAGTTCATGTGACCTAGTACCATGGTGAATTATTCAAAGATGATGGTAGCATGAAATAGGAGAAGCCAGATGGACTGGAGCTTTGTCTGCAGTTCTGCTAGGGCTAATACAGTCTGTTGTAGTGGGGAAAAAAGATCAGAGTCAAAAAGAGAATCTCAGTTTACCAGTCCTTCACAGTTTTCACCAGGATCATGAGATATCGATCATGACTGAATAAATAAGCAAATGGGAAACAAGTCAGCAGATTATCTCTAGCCTTAAAGGGTGTGGCTCTTCTTGTCTGTAGTAAATTGATTTTGCTGTTATGGATGCCCCCTGGGTGCCTCCCATTGGTGGTTGTCTGGGTACATCTCACTGGGAGGAGACCCTGGGCAAAACTGAGAACTTCCTGAAAGGATTGTGTGTGTCCCATCTGGCTTGGAGACATCTTTGGATCCAACAGAATTAGCTGGATGTTCAATTCAGTTTTAATCAGTTTATTTTTTATAGCGGCAATTCATAACACACGCATGATCTTAAGGCACACGCTGTCCTGTTGGTTGGACTGTTTTGGCTAATGTTTTCCAAAGGTTTTGATTGTAAAAAGACAAAGATGATCCCCCCCCCCCCACTTTATGATTAGGCACTACTTTATGATGCACTATTAAATATATACCCTTAGAAAGTACTTGAAAAGTTTTAATAGATTTTGATTCTGTTGCAAAGCTATGAATAGTATATAAAGGACTTCACAGTAAACCTCCCTAGTGTCTACTAATATCTGCTTATAAATATATGAATCAGATGAATGTATTCTGAAGTGAACGTAGTGCCAGAACTAAAACCGATGCCAGTTGTGTGTTTAACTTAAACCTAAAGTGATGGAACCAGCATAGAAGCATGGTTGAAGGTATGGACAGCGTGATGGGTAGTGACCTCCTTTGGCACTTTGTGCTAAAACCACCTAATCCACTTCCTGACAGCAGCGCTCACAGCAGAAGCTTCTATTACCGAGCAAGTTGTTCAGAAACAGCGTAGAAAACATGTCAAAAATGTCAAAGGGTTGATTTATCCTCCACATTTCCCCCAGGGTGCAGATTGAGCATCTGTGGGATGTTCTGGAAGATAACTACATGCAGCTTCTCCCTGCAGCTTACTGTAGTAAAGATGGCTGCTGTATTTAATGAGACAGGACAACCTCAGAGGTCATTTCCAGCTATGGTCCAAAGTCAGAACTGAACCAGATGGCTAACTGACTTAAAAAGTGGATCTTTTCTAGGCGTTTATCTCAAAGCCTTGGGTCAGGTATTCACAAGCAAAGGAGAATGAACTTTTCTGCATCACAAACTCAGTAAACCCGAAAGAACTATAACCTACAAAGCTGCAATGTCAGTACCAGCATTTTAGTCTTTCTGAAGGTGTTCAAGGTTTGCTTTAGGAAAGTAACACATTCTGGTTAAACCACAAAACAGTACTGTGCTTTTCTACAACTAATCTTAAAAATACCCTCACCTTTAGGTTATTAAATGTCATTTAAACCGCTGGTTAGCCCTGATCTATCTTTTCTACTTATCGGCTGAGTCTAAAACATAAGCTTTAGTGCTGCAGACATTAGATAAAAGGGAAGGAAAGGTATGATAAAACAATAATGGTGCAGAAGTCCCAGCCAGAAGTAGTGACTGCTTTATCAGTCTGGCCTTCAAATTTGTAGATAAGTGCTGATAAGATATTACACTGAGCTGCACTTTGCAAAGAAATGACTTTACTGAGTTAGGTGGACTGAGTTCTTACACCACCTCTGAATGCATTTGTCCGTTGATGAAATCTTGCAATGTCAGATAAATACGGATTAGAATTACACAGGAATCAGATGACAAACAATGGAAGTGGGAAATGGTAGGATAGGAACTAATTCAATGTATTTCTTTTCCATTAAAATCATGTTGCATGCAGACAAGTCTACTTAAATGTCCTACTCTTCTAAGTCAGGGTTCTGGTTCAGATATACTTGAAGGTCTCTCTGTTTGCACCAACAGTCCCGTCGCTGCGAGCCATCAGTGATCAGGAGAGTCAGGATGGGCTGTACAGTAAATGGCAAATGTTCTTGGCCTATATCCTCCACATCCTGCCCTTCAGCATCCTGAGTGTTGTCATCTTCAGCTCTTTTATTTACTGGTGCGTAGCTGCAAATTCCGCCTCAACAAGCTAACACTAGGGTTGATGTAATACCTCTAAACTTCTGTTCTTCTGTTTTTATTTTTGCCCGTTTCCCATCCCACCACCAATGCAGGACAGTAGGGATGCACCCAGAGACATGGCGCTTTCTCTGTTTTACTGCTGTGGTTCTTGTTCCACATGTTGTAGGTGAGCTGAAAAGATGGTTTTTAAAAATAGATGTGGGATATTTTTTTACTCTGATTACATGTTTTGACAAGTTTTTTTCATAATTTTTTAAATTATATTTCTTTGTTAAATGCTTCTCAAACTGCTTTAAAGCCGTGATCCTATTTCAGTATTTAAATGTCAAGTTTTTTCCTTATGACATTTTTACTATTGAATTTATAGGTTATTTATTAGGTCTTAGGGATGTTTTATTGGGTTACTTTTTCAACCAATGTCTCTTTACCCACCTTCAAGCATTTGAAAACCATAACTAAGTTCAGTCTTTTTTATGATCTTACTGTAAGTAATATAATGATCTTAAAAGAAACAGAATTTGGGGTTTTAGTATCTGTGAGCCATTATCGTTATTACCTCTGCCAAGGAGTTTATGTTTTTATCAACGTTGGTTTGTTTGTCAGTTTTCAAAGTAATAAAAAGGGTTACAGATCTTGCTGATGTTTTCTAAGAAGGTTTGTATTGTGACTGGCAACAAATGATTACATTTTGGTGATAAGCCAGATCACTATCTGGATCCAGGAATATTTTTTAAGATACTGTGAATACAGGTATTAACTTAAAGGTATAGTGGAGGATGTCTGCAAATTTAGATTTGGGATAGGGATAGGCCTATTAAATGTGTGTGAGAGCGTGCACGAGAAGAAAAGGGATCGTGCACGCTCTCACACACATTTAATAGGCCATCCCTATTCTGTTCTGTTTAAAAGTTACTGTTTGAATCGCTCCTACAAGCTTACTTTCCAAAAGAAGATTTGCAATTTTTCAACTATGTCAGACTCACCACCGGTAAGTGAAAATGGGGGGCACGTCCTACGTGCATGACGAGCACGTAGGACGGTCTTACATAAACATATATCACCAGAATGATTGTAAATTAGGAGGACCACTTATTTTGATAATCCACCCAGAAAAAGAACACCCCCTCCATACATTTAAGGTGGAAGTCACAATATGTCAGGGGAAACTAGCTTCTTGGTCGAGGTCTGCACTCTCTGGGTGCTTTTCTAATTTTTTTTGCATCAGCAATGGTTTATCTTCAAAATGTTTTACCTATTGTTATTACAATATTTACAGAAATTATACACACAATAGAAAGAAAATCTTTTTCCTTTATTCAACAAATAATAAGTGTCAAACTCACTTTCCAATCAAGTAAAGGGAAGTTGCAGTGATTTCCAAATTGTGACAGGTGTCATAGGGTTGGCAAATTTGTGTTTTAGTATCATCCGATTACTGATATTTATATACAGTATATATATATATATATATATATATATATATATATATATATATATATATATATATATATATATATATATATATATATTTTTTTTTTTTTTTTTTTTTTTTCACTACTTTTTGACATATTAAACTTTTTAAGGTACTTTATTCCAATATTTTTATAATTTTCCCACACGTTTTTCCCAGGAGAGTTGTTGACAGTGGTTCTGTTAGGAGTGGTCCAGGACCCTAACATGGTCAACTCAGGAGTGGCTTTACTCAACATCGCAGGAATCCTGGTGGGATCTGGCTTCCTCAGGTTAGACACACTACCACCTCATTTGTAGATGCCTGAAATCTATATATTTTTTTTCCAATCGATATTTTAAGCTCTGATGTTTTCTTTTTTGTGTTTTCCCCTTTTCGTGTTTACAGGAGCACAGAGCACATGCCGGTGCTGTTCCAGTGGCTTGGTTACCTGACCTTCCAGAAGTACAGCTGTGAACTTCTCATTGTCACAGAGTTCCACAATCTGGAGTTCGATTGCAGTAAGTTGATTTTCTATGTCACTAATCTCTTTCCCTCTAATAAATAAAAGGGTTTTGTGACTATGTTTATCACGTGGAAACAGCTGCGATGATAATGCCCTACAGACTTATCTCTCAATAGGCTATCAGGGGTGTTTTTTTTACAATGTGGTTTCCTGCAGGATTCTGATCAAAAACAGACTTCCCTTTCTAATCAAAGAGCTCTAATCAAGAGCTTTTCTAGGTAACTTTTATACACAGTTTTTCATCTGTTGACCCTTTGTCGCTCTGATAGTTGATATTAATAATAAATGAGTTCAATGTTCAAGGACTCTTGGTCGAACACTCAGCAATATCAAGGTTTTTGTTGGCTGGTTTAGAAAAGTAGGATCTGAGTTTTGAAAACCAGATATCTGTTGAACGTTTTCACTTTTTCTTTTTGTTCATACAGATTTAACGAGACCCTTACCAGGAGCTTGCATGGTCACTACAGGAGATCAGATCATTGACCAGGGCTACCCAGGAGCTTTATCCCGATACACACTAGACTTTGTTCTCCTCTACGCCTTCCTTCCTGCTTTGGTTGTGATGGGAATAATCGGCTTCAAGATCAGAGACAGACTCATCCGCCACTGAAGCAAAAAAAAAAAACTTTATGTTTATTTGGTAAAAAAAAACAAAAAAATACTTCAGTGATTTATAATGAAGAACAGTTTGTCCTGCTGATGCTACTGAGCACTTTTCTTTTACGTAAGAAACAATCTAAAAACTAATGTTAAAAAGTTTCAACAATGAAGTCTGTCAGTTCTTCTGAGGTCTTTTCTGTTGATATCTTTCCTTAAAGAACTGAATTCATCATACAAATGTTCCAAACTTTTCCATCTTACATTTTTCTTATATTATAAAGCTATTACAAACAAGAAGCAAAAACGTGTACATTGTTCTAGTATTTCTGGTGGCACTTTATATTTTTTTAAACTGAACAGTAGTCTTTTCAAATTAACGAACTCTACCGATATCTTGGTTGTAAAATCGGTTAGAGGTAATCTCAGCATAAGGAAAGAAACCGTGTAAACAAAACAAACTAATTAAAACGTTAATTTTAATATAATTTCATACAATTTAGATCGACTGACTCAATTGAAAGAATGGCATAAAAGAAGCTCACAAATAAGTCTAAAGTTCACAGCCTCGAGAAAAGATGGCAATGATTAGACAGTTGGTAGAATCAATGTGCTATGAAATGTTTGCACCAATCAATCTGTGATTATCTCTCAAGAAGACAAACCTGCACTGAACGCACCAGTTAATATTTCCCAATACCTGCTTTTACCTCAAAAACATCAAGTATATAAAATGATCAAAGGAAAAAATATTGTATAAACAATAAGTTTCTATTAAAGATGTTTTATTAGTTGAAACTCATTACAAACTTGGTTTATGAACAATTTTATCAACAGTTGATTAAATAGTCAAATAATTATTTCATAAGTTCTCTGTATATTTTATTGTAACACTTGTGACAGACCACAGGCCATATCTCAAATTAAAAAAAAAGAAAATGAAAGCCTTGGTGATGCCGTCCATAATGCTGTTCCTATGTAATTCCATCTATCGTTATATTACCATCATGGAGCATTTCTGAGTCCGTTACCGCATTTCCAGCCTCGTGGAAAGTATTAAGTATAGGCGGTGAATACCTTCATAATGGATTGTTTTTTTTTTTTTTGGTTTTCAGTTTTCCCTAGTTTTCCCTTTTTTTCCCACATTTCTATACTGCGGTAATGTGTGTATTATTTTAAAAAAAGAGAATAGTTCAATACAAGTTGGGACAAAGCTGAAACATAACCAAATGTGGAAAAGTAACTGTGCTGTAAATACTTAACAGATTAATTATATATTAAAGGTTATTTCCTCCAGCATTCACCTGTTTTTGCTCCAATCCAACTGAAAAAAGCATGTCCATAGTAAGACGCTGTTACATGCTTCACAATGGGGCCTAGGGGGAAGTTGGAAAACAGGACTATTTGCTGCTCCTCCATAAAATCCAAAGCAAACACACTTGGATACAGTACTGGATCTGGTCCTCTCTTCAAGAGCTACTATAGGCCTTTTCACTGTTCATCTGATTAATAAGACAGACTCTCAATGAGATGCTTAAACCTCGGAACATTGTAGTATACATTACCTTAAACCTATCACTGACCTTGGTTGTCATGGTGGTGTTCTATCACTATTGTCCTACAACACACCTCTGAGGTCACTGGGCACCTGTGTTCAAACTGATGGACAGTCCTTTTTTAAAATTTTTATGGCACTATTCTGTAAAAGTTTTAAAAAAAAATCCACTGGACTTTGTTTCCAAGGTTTGAAGACGTTTCGCATCCCCTCCAGGAAGCTTTCTCAATTGGATGACTGAGAAACTTCACCAGCATTTATGGCACTAGTGGCTCATTTTCTGAACAGTAGACTGACAGGAGGGGGTACGAGAGGGGGAGAGACATGCGGGAGAACCACAGGCCCAGCACGCCCCAAGGACAGCCCTTTTTCTTATCAAGTAATTTCCGAAAGCAACTGACATTGTTTGAGCTGTGAGATTGCTGCACCTCTACCAGAAATGTAACCCAGGGTGAACCAGCTGCTAAAAAAAATATATATATATATAACTGTATAACTTACCGGGCAACCAGAGGTATTTGGGGAGTCATTTTTGCCTCATCAACTAACATTAAAGAGGACAGTTAAAGACATTTCTTCCCAGGATTTCATTAGAACAGCAAGGTTATTTCAAGGGAACCAAAGACAAGCTGACAATTTTCCTGCAGCCAGAGGAAGAATGACGAGGAGCACAAAGTTAATTTGGGTGTAAAGGAAAAAGTTGTGCATTTTGCAATTGAAAAGTAGGTTAATATAAACATAAATAATGCATCATGTTTTCATCATGAATAAATGAGATCAAGCATTTATTTGCAGTTCTCTTCATGCAGACATACATGGTGATTCCTATCGGCCATTATTGTGTTCAGTTGCCCATGAGGTCAGGCGCAGACCTTTATTCATCTTCCACATTTTTTTCCTAAATAAACACAACAGTAAGCATTTTACAATGAAAAACAGATATATAAAAAGAAATAAAAACTAATACAGAATAAATGTTTGCTAGACTACAGATTTTAGGTCAATAAAATAGAACAATAACATATATGTATCTATATATATCTATATCTATCTATCGATCGATAAATAGATATAGACACAGCAGATACACAAGTGACTGCATAGTTTGTTAATGATACACATTCAACTAATGCTGACATGACTGATGTGTTATGAGACAGTTTTTGAGATGTTTTTGAAAATAGTCTATGTTGTAAGTTCTCTGATGTTCTGAGGGACAGAGTTCAATTCCTGAGATGCTGTAACTGCAAAGGATCTTTGACTAAAAGCATTTTTACACAGAGGAACAACAGTCTCCTCTAGCCGACCCTCCTGTTACTGTCCGTGTGTTCCTGATCTTTACAAACTGACTGAGTGGAGGAGATGACAGACCATGGATTATTTTGTAAAACAGAGGTTTGCATACTTGATGACATTTTCACAGCCTAAAAGCTTATGTTTTAGTAAAATGGCATAATGGTGATATTTTAATATTTTTTTTATCCAAAATTTGTATCTGTTTGTAAAGAGATTCTAAATGTTTTAGTGTGGTTTTATTTGCCTGTGACCAGGTTGTAAGACAGTAGGTGATGTGGGACAGAACCATACTGTACATGAACACTTTAGGTGCCTGGAGTGACAAGTTATATCTTATTGAGAGGATATTTGTAATATTGAATTTGACTCTATTGCACACCTTTTTGATCTGGGATTTAAAAGTTAGTTTAGAGTCTAATAGAGTCTAAGTATTTGAATTTTGACACAACTTTTTTTTTTTTTTTTTTCACTGTCACACAAATATCTTCGACATGATTTGCATTGTTGGATTTAGAAAAGTACATTGAAACAGTTTTATTTACATAAAGTTTTAAGCAAGATTGATTCAGCCATTCAGAGACATGGACCATAGACTGTGTTAGGTTTTCAGCAAGTTGTTTTGGGTTTTCACTACGAGTATAATTTACAGTATCGTCTGCATACATCTGGATACAGACATCTGTACAAACTGAGGGGAGGTTGTTTGTATAGAGAGAAAATAGCAGAGGCCCCAAGATAGAACCTTGAGATACCCCTGTGGACATGACGAGAGGCGGTGAGAGATACTGTAATCACTGATCCTGAGTGACTGTGAGCGATTGGAAAAATATGATTCTATCCATTTTATCACATCTGAGGAGAAGTTAAAGGAATAGTACACCCAAAACATGATTAGCCTTCATTTTCTACTCACCCCCATGCTGAACAACACTCTGGAGTACTTTTTTGATATCTCAAATGCATCTGGAGATCTGGGAGGCTTCTTGCTGTCTGCTGACATTCAAATAATGGAGGTCTATGGCGCCCGAGACAGAAAGGTCCATAAAAGTCCACAAAAAACGTGTCAATATTCCTCCATACTGCTCGTCCAATGTATTCCAAGTGTCCTGAGTGGGTAGCATCCAGAATTTACTCGAAACGAAGTCATTTAGAATGTTTTTAGAGCATAAACAGTAGTGTATATGATTTCCTAAAAGCGCGTTCACGAGTCTACGGAAACCGCGGCAGACCAAACCAGATGAAAGTGCGCATTCAGCTCGGCAAAGAACTCATGCTCTTCCTCAACACTGAAGTCCTCAGACATTTTTCTTTCGTTGTTTCTTTCTTTGCACAGGTAAACAACACATTTCTTCTTCTACGCTTGCATTATCGGCAGAGCAGACGCTGAATGCGCACTTTCATCTGGTTTGGTCTGCCGGCTTCCGTAGCGTCGTGAACGCGCATGTGCGCGCTTTCAGGAAATCCTATACACTACTGTTTATGCTCTAAAAACATTCTAAATGACTTTGTTTCGAGTAGATTATGGACGCTACCCACTCAGGACACTTGGAATACATTGGACGAGCAGTATGGAGGAATATTGACACGTTTTTTGTGGACTTTTATGGACCTTTCTGTCTCGGGCACCATAGACTTCCATTATTTGAATGTCAGCAGACAGCAAGAAGCCTCCCAGATCTCCAGATGCATTTGAGATATCAAAAAAGTACTCCAGAGTGTTGTTCAGCATGGGGGTGAGTAGAAAATGAAGGCTAATCATGTTTTGGGTGTACTATTCCTTTAAATTTGCTTAGTTTGGTTGATAATATTTTATGGTTTACAGTGTCAAAGGCTTTCTTAGATTGAGAAATACAGCTCCAACCATGCCACCTTTATCCAGTAATCGTTTAATATTTTCTATGAGAAATAAATTTGCAGTTTCCATGGAGTGTTGAGTTCTGAAACCAAATGCATTGAATGAAGGGGAAATGCAGTGGTATTTAAATGTGTTACTATTGGTTGGGCAATCAGTTTTTCTGAAACTTTTGACACTGTAGGCAAGATGCTGATTGGTCTGTAAATGCCCACTGCCAGTGGATCTCCATTTTTGAAAAAATTGGAACAACAGCAGCTGACTTCCACACACTTGGACATACTGCCTGAATAATAATTGACAATTCTGGTTACTGGTGTTAATTACGTGGAACTGAGTTATTTCAGCATGCACATATCTATGTCAAATATGTTTCTAGTTCCAGAAGCTTTAAGTATTGCTTGTAAGACTTCAGATTCTGTGACTGTCTGTAGGTTGAAGATTGGCTCAAGATTATTTGTTAAGCACATATTTAGATTGTTAGGAGGGAAGTTTTGGGCAATAGCTGACACAGATTCAATAAAAAAATAATAATAAATAATTGAAGGCATCTGCAACGTTGTGTAATTGGAAATTTGTCCATTTATTTTGATTTCAAAAATCTGTTTAATTTCTGAGTCCTGTAATACAAGTTTTTTCAGTTGGGTCCAAATTAATTGGAATCCTCTTTTGCATTACCTATTATAGTGAGGAAATCTGCTTTGGCCTTGCATATAACTTTATTCCTCAGTGTTGTAAACAGCTTTTTAACAGGAGCTGATTTAATCTTAATTGCCATTTTTAATGCAAGATCCCTCTCTATCATTAGTTTGAGAATGTCAGAGGTATTTTTTATTGTATCTGTGCTTTACTTTACAACTTAAATCTTTAATATTGCTCTCCATTTAGTATCAAAAGATTTACAGTCAACTTCACAATTTCTTCCAAGCAGTATGTGATCCCAATCAATCTCTCGGACAGCACGTTTAAATCCTTCCTGGTGTTTTTTTGGGAATCCAACAAATTCATGCTCTCTGGGAAAATGAGCAAATCTCTTTTTTGAGAGCTTTCTGGCCACAAGTATCAAATTGTGATCAGAAAGACCAGCTAGCAGGTTGTATGATTTAAATATTCTCTTAGGTCAGCTTGTAAATGCTAAATCAATCAGTGCTGCTTAATGTGGTGATTATTGTGGGCACTTTGATCATTTGGACCAGATCAAATTTATCAGTTCTTTGTTTAAGCTTTTTTCTACATAAAGTGTCCTCCCAGTTTATGTTGATATCCCCCAAGATGGTCTCTTTAAGTTAGATTCTTTAAGTAATTTTTCAAACGTTTCATGAAATATAGAGGGAGGGCGATAAACAACGATTGTGAAAGCCATTAGTATGACATTTAAACCCAAGCATTCTAGTTCTTGATAATTTGACCATTGAATTTCCTGACACTGAATATTGTCTTTTATGTATATCAAGACACCACCACCCTTTGCTCCTACTCTGCCTCTCCTAAACATATTACATCCAGAGATGCTAAGTGCTGCAGAAGGGGCGTTTTTATAGAGCCGGGTCTCAGATAGACAGAGGTAATCCAGATTGGAGTTATGTAACAGGTGATTAACTTGATCTATTTTTGACATGATGCTTCTTATATTCAAATGCCCACCCAGAATATCTTTGGGTTTTGCTGCAGGGTCCCAAACTATTTTCGATTGATTGACAGTTTGGAAGAATGCCCATTTCCGGTGTTTGGCTACCCCTGGATTGAGCCACTTCTTGTTTACGGTCGTTGCCATAGTAGCGGGACGGCTGTTCACTAAAGTTTGTTGATGTATGTCCGGACAATGACTCCTGCTCCCATGTAAGGTCAGGACTGTATTTCGATGTTTTCCCACGGTGTCGCAACTAAAGTATCTGTCCGACGCACCTCCACATGTCCCCAGACCCGGAGTTTCACCATGCGGCGTTCCAACAGACTCCCCCGGTACCGCGCTATCCACTCCATCGACCTCACCTCCACGGGAAGACATCTCGGCCACAGTTAATGCTAGGTACAGATAAGGGAGAGGATCAGGACGTTTTGCAGGGGAAAACGGAGACATAACCTTACCTGAACGTACCTGTAAGGTATGAATTATGCGTTTGTCCTCTGTGCTTGAGTTAGCCTCTCCTGGCGTCTCAAAGTGTTGCGGGCCTGGGCACGGGTGGATTTCTCTGGATAACATCAAACATATGGAGATAATGAGTCCAGTTGTTTGAGATACTTTGGTTGGTGTTCTTGATTTAGTCTTCTTGGTAAACTTATTATACAGTTGTGGGTAGACCAACATCACAGCCAGTGTGTAGGTTCCATAGCCGGTACTTGTCTTGGCTAAAACGTTGTTTGTTTGTTTGTAACCTAAGCTTTCGTTGTCTGACGGGTTTACAATTTTTGGAAAGGTGTTACCAACCATCTGAACTGGAGGAGTTCGGAGTCGAAAGAAGATGACAAGTAATATGTAATCTGAATATATATTTAAATCTGATCCTAAAGGTTATCAAAATTGAATTTAGCATTACATAAATGACATTTACTGTTCAAATATATAGGGGTTAGATAAACACGAAAGAAGAAACTTAACTGCCAATCCATACGGAGAAAATTAAATCGGTCTTAGTGCACATCCTATAAAATAATCGTATAAAATAATTTGACTGTTTTGCAGACCCATATAAAGTGTAGAAAAATTCTTACTTCTAACTCACATTTCTATCATTTACAACCTTTCATAAATTTCCTTCTACGCGGTCTTGCTGGAGTATTATATTATCTATGTATTGTTCTAGATTGTGTGAACTTTCCCCTTTGCCTCTCTAATGTAGCTTCCGTAATCTGACTGGATCCCTAGCCACTGCTCCTCCCTTTTATTTAGTCCCTAATCTTTTGCTACAACAATAAAGTATTTGTAGATTCTTCGTTTCTTGAAAGTTTGCTCAATTTATAAAACGCCGAAGCTGTTATTTGCTCTTTAGGTGACTTTAGATCATCCAAGATGGGGTTCATGAATTCAGTTTGACTTTTGGATTTCAGGCCTTTTCTGAATCGTATTTCTAGAAATAATGCTTTCATTCCAATTTTTATTGATTCTTCAAAACTGATAAGCAGTCCATCTTTGGAAAATCTCCTGTAATAGAAATATGGCCTAATTTCCACTGTTTTCAATAAGCCTTTTTGGTCCCCAACACAAACAGTTTAGCCACAAGGAGGAGTATTTCTGTAAGATATGAGGCACTTTGTAAATTAGATACTTTATTCGAAACACCCTTAGAGTGCCTAAGACCTAGGACTGTCAAGCTCTTGTTTTGAAACAGTTTCTCTCTAAAACTGAATGGGGAGTATAAAAGTCTCAATATCTGTCCAACCTGGCCTTTTATCTGTTTATTTAATCAGTTTCACCATTTTAAATGCCTTAGATCTGACAACTTAAGTCCTCCCTTTTCCCCAGTTTTCTCATAGTTTCCACATTTTTAAATCTTGGTCAAGCCATCAGTATGATCAAACCATCATACCTTGAGAAAATTTAGATTTACTACAGTTGATTGTGTATCATGATTTTTTGGAATCCTCTTGAATGTCTTACAATAAATGTGGCAGTGCTTCCTCTGGGTTCTACGGCATAGCCATGCAGCAAAACCTCCACTGTTCCTGTCGTTTATTATCAAATACTTTGGCTGATCTTACAAAATGATTACCCTGTTTAACAGAAGCTGTAACAGAATGAAATAAATAAACATATGCTATATGTACATACTGATGTGTTGTATGTGTGTTATAACACTTTCTTCTATTTCCCAAGCTCCAGTTCTCTCCATGACTTTGCTGCATTTCTTTTATACTGCTCCAACTCCTGGAAAAAAAAGATCCAGATGACAAAAGAAATCATTTTTGTAATTCTTTGTTCATTTTCTGATTAAAAAGAAAAAAACTCTAACAGCAACATGCGGTTCTCTTAACTAAATGCAAAACATGGAAGGAGAAATAACTTCAGAATGAGATTCTTCCACATTATTTCCTATAGTTTTATCAATTATTTTCACACTTTTCAAATTCTCTTCAAATCAAATCATGGTAGATGGAATTCACTCGTCGCCGCTATGCCTGGGTTATATGGCTTTCTAGACCTCTATAGTTCTTGTTCTGATAACTCTGTACGTTGACATCTTGTACGGTCCGACTCCAGAAGATAACGAGCTGTTTTCATGTGAAAGTTAGTCAGAGATAGCAGATCCTGATTCATGAAGGTTACTGTAGTCCAGCTGCCACAGTGGAACCATGGCACTTTGACAAGAAGACTGATAACTTTAGGTTTTACAACTATAGGAAAGTGTTACAGGTATTTTAATAACACCATCACAGAAACACGGTCATGGACAGGCTACTGCAGGGCAGAGGGTTACTTTAGGGCATTGGTGGATGGCATGAGGTTCATTCCAGTTACTTACTGAGAAAAAACAAAACAAAAAAACACCTCCAATAAGGGGAATTATCTTTACAAATCATTGAAATATAATTATATCATAGAGATGTAGAGTCAAAAACCAAAGGAATTTTATTTTCTCTGCACTTTACCCCATTTTGTTTGAGCACCATGCTTGGCTTGTTTCCTATTTGGCAACAGGTTCTTTATTGTTTGATAAGCTGGGGAAATTCTCGCTGTCCTTCAGGATGTACATCAGTGGGAATAACCTGGATGTTTGTCAGTGCCGTCTCCACCCCATAACCAAATAAATAATTTAACAGAAACACAGCAGGGCTTACCACAAGCAGCATTTGGGCTGCTGATGAGGTGCATTTTGGGATACCTCATTACCATTAATAAGGATCTATGAAATCCTCTTGCAGGTTTGTTACAACTTTATTGGAGGCAGGATATAGCCTGCAGGCCTAGAGCCAGGGGCCGTTTCAAGGAATTAGTGGGGCCCCAAGCGAAAATCACTTGAAGGCTTATGCCCCCTCACTGTGTATTACAATAACAATGTCATTGTACTTTTCTGCTGAGCAGCAATGTCCATAAGTTCCCTTTAATTTAAGTGATGAAATAAAACATTTTGTTGGTCATGAGATGTGTATGTATGAGTCCTGCTTTGGCCAGAGCAAGGGTCCTGCTCTTAAGGAAATTCGGACATTACACCTTTCAGACATAACTTCTTGTTCACCCTAAAAGATTCACGTTTTGCACACTGCACTGCGTGTTGAAGCTTCCGATACAGAATAAACTAATGTTTCTCTTGAATTATGCTGTTTTTGTAGTGTTCAACATAAATACTATAATAGTATAATCATTTCATAATTAATATCAATAATTAAAAAATGTTATGAAATGTCACTTGAATATTTTTTTTTATTTTATCTTTTATTCAGGTCTTTCCTTCTCACTTCTCCAATTGTTGTCCAAATATGACACATTCTGGATGCTGTTTTGACAAGGTTCATTAAACTAAATCTTCTTTCACAATCAGCACTGGATGCTTTAAATGTACAGAAGCACAAATGTCCAAAAACTGTGAGATCTGCTTTGGCTCATCATATCTAAATGCTGCAGCCACCTTATCTGAGAAAGGGCTGAATGATTTCTGATGATGTTTTTGCTTCATCATGTAATTGAATTTAGCAACAAAAAAAAGTCCCACGGACAATCGCGCTGCACTGTGAATAGGTCCATCTTAAGGTGCTTGTTGGAAAGCAGGGCTGCTACAAATCTTTGAGTTTCATTGTTCTGGAATCCTAGACTAAATATTTGGGCTGCCACATAGTATTCTTCCTGTGTGATTATTTATTTATGCACCTGTAGCATTCTTTGATACACTGAATAAGGACACTGACACTCTACTAAACATAGTCATCCAAATCTAACTTACATTCATTAATCTGTACTGTAAAACTGATTTGATAGGTTTATATAAAATTAAATTTACGTACGTAACTACGGTTCTATGAATCCCGGATGACCGCCAGAGGGTGGTGCTGAAAGCACTGAATGTTCCCTTTGGGCATGCGCAGTTCAAGTAATTATGCCAACAGAGTCACACCTGTGACACAGGATGACCACTCAGAAGCTATATAGACTGGTGTCATCCATTGCTCTGTTCCTACATAATCTTCTAGCAAAAGCAAGGATTCTGAGTGACAGAGAAGCTCTGACCGGGATTCCTAGAACCATAGTTACATACATAACTTACGTTCTATTTTATCCCTACTGACCGCCAGAGGGCAGTGCTGAAAGCACTGAATGACTGATGTCAATGACGTCACAAGGAATCCTGAGCACATATCTCACTGAGAGGGCCCAGCAGAACCTTGTAAAAGGACCTTACCCAGCGGATGAGGGGCAGCCACATTGACACTGTAGAACCTTGTGAAGGTGGTTGGGGAAGACCACGAAGCAGCACCACATATTGCTTCAAGCAGCACCCCCCTCAAAGCCGCCCGGGGAGCCAATGCGTCCTGGCCCCGTGCGCCTGCCACCCCGGTCAGGGAACACCATTGGGGGCAATGGATTGACTCCTCTGTGGCAAATAGATCTACCTCTGCCTGCCCAAAGAGGTTCCAGATAATGTGCACTATGTCGCAGTGAAAAGAGGCCCAACGGGATAGAGAGTCTGCAACCTGGTTCTGCCGTCCTGGCAGATATGCTGCGCGCAAGGTGGAGAGATGAGGTAACGCCCATTCCAGGAGATATCTCAACACTTTCAAGCAGACATGGGCAATGTGGAGTCAACAAGTCATCTCCATGTCATGTATTTAATCTACCCAGCCAATTAACTAGGTGAGTCCAATCTGCACAGGTTAATTCACAGTAAAGATTGAACTCACCTGCTTCAGTGGCTGGGTAGAACAAATACATGACATGGAGATGACTTGTTGACTCCACATTGCCCATGTCTGCCTTGAAGAGATGTGGTGACCTGATGCCTTCTTGGTTTATATGGTAAACAACAGAGGTATTGTTCGTCCGAATTAACACGTGCCTTCCCTCTAGGTGGGGCAGAAGGCACCTGAGGGCCATGTGGAAAGCCCGCAGCTCCAGCATGGTTATGCGTTCGTGGCGCTCCCTTTGATCCCAGAGACCCTGAACAGCCCAGTTTTGCCACACGGCGCCCCAGCCCATGGGGCTGGCATCCGTGGTGACCACTTCCCTTCGACACGCCACCAACCCCATTGGAAAACCAGTGGGCAAAAGGGTCCCGTTGTCTAAAAATAAAATCGGGAGAGGGTGCGCGAACGCAGCCAAAAAGTGCACAATTGGACGAATGCCGAGCTTTGAGGGATCATTGGCGCTCAAACTGTTTGTCAATAGATGTGGTTTATAACCAGGTCAGCCATTGTCTGGGGGTCCCAGGCAAACTTGGGGCCCTAGGCAATCGCTTGGTTTGCTTGCCTTGTGGTGACGGGCCTGACTAGAGCTGATCTATAGACTTTAAACACATAGAACTTGTTCTGAACCTGTACAACCATCAAATATTTATCTATCATACCTCCCTGTACTAAATGCCTAACAATGTGTTACACCCCATATGATGACGACTGAAATTTACTTTATCAAAGTGTCAAGTTCTTTTTTCTTTCAAACTAAAGATTTTATATTTCCTGTTTTGGTATTTTCTACTGGTAAGCTGTCACTAGATGATTATTTTCTATAGCAAATGTATCATGAACATTTTCAAGCTTAAATCTTTTGTACTGATTAACCTCCGGCTGTAGTCCTCTAAAAATGTATTACTCAGAAGTTGGATCTTTTGGACTAGATAAGTTTTAGTACCCAATATTAACTCCAGATATTTAACAAGTTTTATTTACATTAAAAGCTATAAAAACATCCAGTTATCTGAGCTTTCATCCCATAGAGATAGAGCTAGTTTCTTAATCTTCATCTTTGTAATGCTTTCATGATGTCATACCTTTATTCTATTCTTTATAACCATTATTATTATTTATTATCTATTGATGCTCGTTTTCCATGACATGATGGTGGACAAAGTTCAAACAACAAAGCAAAATGAACAGAAATATCTGATGACCAAAGACTGACCCCCAACATCACCAACTCGTGACTTCATACCAGATACAGTGTACCTAAAGTCCATATCAAAGGTATTTTACTGCAGTTATGAAGCTAATTTTTAATGAGGAAACGGTGAAAGTGTGTTACCTGGTCTTTCTGGGCTCTCATTGCATCAATCTGAGGCTCACTGTACTGTGGGTCTTTGGCTGGATCCTTTAGTGCTCTCTGCTCACTGTAGCTCTGTGAAAACAGTAACTCCACTATATTCAGAGCAATTGGGTTCTTTAACATTACCTGAAATATAAAGCTGAGCAGCTACCTTGCTGGGAAAGACTCGCTCATACACCTTCTTCCACAGATCCATTGGGCTTTTCGCATTTAGAGATGCAATGTCCACGTGAGTCATAGGAGGTGCCCCTGCATATCAGGGAACCTTTTTTCAGACAAATTATCTCATTATCCTGCTTATGAAAACAAATGATACAGCTGTTTGCTAAAATACAGGTAACTATGCTCACTAAAAAAACAGGCTGAAGGTTTAAAGCTCTTAATTCTGTTAAGTAAGATGATTTCTTGTGTACAGCGAATGAAAAAAATACTTCTCACTAATGACAAAACATTTTTTATAAAAAATTGCAGGCTTAATATAAGCAGACTTATAGCCTGCTTCAATGTTACTATTTTCTAATATGCTTTATGCACTAGTGGTCTTCAATGTTGATTATTTCTGGACAGAAGACAAAGGTCAAAGGGCCGACACTCCAAACAGTGAGAGCTGCATCGAGGACCCAGGCCTCCGACACATGGGCCTCACGGTTAACCCCCTGCACCACTGCCACTCAAAGGGTTACTTTTAGTCTGAAAAACATGCCTGATTGAAAGTGAAGAGTTAGATTTTGAGGGAATACCTGAAACAATATTTCATAAACTGTCAGCATGTTGTTGCCTTGAATTCTTAAATCTGTTTTCTATTGAAGTTTTATGTGATTAACCAACTTTCCTTCCTCTAAATGTTCGCTGTCAATGAGAGGAAGGAACAGCATATAAACTCCTATAACTCTTCTAACTTTACACATCTAGAGACTGAAGTATTCCCCCATTGTTTTCTTTGCAGAATAAGCCTCTATGAATGACAACATTTAGGTCCTAGCACAGATTTTCTTTGGATTTATGGCTGGACTTTCTCTGCACCTTTCTGACACATAGATCTGTGCTGATCTAATCCATTCCAGTGTAACGGTCTTTGTACCTTTATGGTTTTAAATGTGACTGAAAAGTGAACCTCTTTCACTGAATTTAGCTCCATCTACCGTACTCACCCATTAGCTCTGACCATGTGGTCTGAACCTGCTGAAGGTGAGCATCCTCACAGCATTCTGCTGCCAGGGTGACATATTCTGGTTGATGTTATTTTCCCTCAAGTTTTGCTCTTTAAACTTAACACTATGATTAGTTCAGCTCTTCCAATAGTTGTTAGTTTGAGTACCACTGGTTTAGGAGCACAGCCACATATTTAATAGACATAACGTTGTGATATAATTTTTCTCTACATTTAACGGTTCAAAATACTCTTATAACCTAAACTTGCTTTCAATTTCTTTATCCATGACACTTTGAACAAAGCATAATTTTTCTTTTATCTTACAATTAACAAACAATCATATCATCATTACATTTGGTTGTTATGTGACAAATATGATTAATTTCAAAGTCTTTAATGCATTTGCAGATGTCTCATCTTGTGTTTTAACCACAGCTTTTCATTTCACTGCAGTTCCTGGTTTCTTTTAAATGTGTGTCGTCAAATGGCCAGTAGGTGGCACTGTGCTCACCTATTTCGCTGAAGGAATCTGAGCCTGCTGAGATGATGAGAGGTTTACCAGAGTCAAAGGACACGGATTTCCTGTTTTGAAATGAAAGCAGGAAACAGCAGAGGACAAAGCATCAGAGAATCCAATATTCGACACTATTAGAGAGGAAACTGAATAGAAAAATCAGAAATGCTACACTGCGATTATTTGGTTCCTATTGGTGAGTTAGATTTAAAAGTGTGAGATAATTGATTTTGTTTTCTCAATTTCTTATTTTAACTGTCCCACTTTACACTATAACTATATAGATGGATAAATGAACCCTTTTTTGAGTATGTTGTGTTTCTCAGATTCTGTGTTTTTATCATTTTATGTTTTACAATATTTTCTCCCTTGCAGTGTGCATTCAAGGTTGATCATTTCAGAACTTGTGAATTTACATTGATTAGAAGCCATGAAAGCCAGTTATCTAAAAGATTTACATGTCCAGAAGAAATCTGGAAATAGAAACTGACCTTTTCATATCCAACTATTTCACACTCAAACCTTTGCATTAGCCTGTGATTAACTCCTCACCCTACGTCCAGACCAAAGGCCAGATGGGCGAAGAAGCGCTTGGTTTTCGACATGAGGCTCTCTGATTTAATGCTGGTGAACTAACGGACAAATCAGGCAGAAAAACAGAGAGAAAAACATTTTAATGATAACTCCAAGTAATGCCAAAGCATAGAGAGCATGCTAAAATTTACTTACGATCAAAGATGCTGCATAATAGTGGGCCAGAAAACGAAGGGTTTTACAAATAACTTTCTTCCTGTCCGAGTCAAAATCCTATAAAAAAACAAACAAACAAAAAACACTTTAATTTGACATGAGTCAGACTAGATCCCACATACTGTAATTCATCAAGGTGTAAAACTGACTAATATTCTCACTACATGCACACAGCTTCCTTTAACTAAACTCAGTATTCACAGTTTAACCTTTGCGATTTACCTGAAATAGATCATATTTACTGCCTATGATGAGCAGGGGAACAGGAAAAGGACTGATCAGTTCTCTGTCCTGTTGAAAGAGCAAGTTAAAGGTTTGGGGTAATAATATAATAATGCCTGCAAGAAAAACACAGACATAAAAGGGAAACCCAGATAATCTCCATTCATACTGGGTAATCTTTAGGTAAGACCCGAGCTGCTGAGGGAGCAGCTTTCTGCTGCTTGGCTCCAGCTTCGTACTTCTGTGCTTTCTGTGCCTGAGAAAAGACTTTTTCGATCTGACTTTGTGCTGAATGCAGAAGTTTCTCCATGGTTTCCCACAAATCGTTCGGCATAGAAAGGTCCAGAACGAGCACAACAGAGAGAGACCTGAGGAAAGAGATATATCATACTACTCTTTTAGTTGGTACATTAAGGAACAGGCTGCCTCTCTGGTTTAAAGCATGTATCTGTTAAGCACACAGCAACAGGTGGCCCACCGTATGCTGAGTGGCGTGATGGGAATCTGGATGAGGTCTGAGAGAGAGGTTCCTCCTCCCAGCTCCCACGTGTGGGTTACATCTTTGAGCTGAAAGAAGAAATCAGAAATCATGAGACAATAGTCTGCAATCTATAAAGGCTCATGAGGACTTTACATCATAATTCCCAGCGAGGAAAAACATTTATTAAGAAAAACAGGTTAAAAAAAAAACAAATTTTTTATATTTTCAAGACACTGGTCACATAGACTTGTGTGTTTAAAATATATATATATATATATATATATATATATATATATATATATATATATATATATATATATATATATATATATATATATATATATATATATATATGTGTGTGTGTGTTTCCAGCCCCCTTAAACTTCTTGACTTTTTGCCACATTTCAGGCTTCAAAAATAAAGATCTAAAATTGTAATTTTTTTGGTGAAGACGTTAAAGGGGGCTGAATACTTTCGCAAGGCACTATATGTGTGTGTGTAATCAACACATATCAGGGATCGATTAGATGTCAAAATAATCACCTTTTTAAGAACCGTTGTTGGTTGATCTGATATTCTCACAAATATCTCTTTTATCAGAACTTCAAATTCAAACGAAAGAAGACTTTTGCTCTTCAATGGTCTATTTTGTCTACAGTTAATAAGAAAACATGAAAACATTTCGCAGAATCTCGGCTTAGAAGGTCCACCTAATACACAGACTGAAAAAAATACCTACAGAAACCATTCAAAGCTGTAATTTGAGCCTCAACTAAATCTACTTCAATTCTGGCAGTTTTAGCCTCCTTGTTAATACTCTAATCACTCTCTTATCAATTTCAAGCAGCTGATAAGAGCTCAGAAATAAAGAAAGCCTGGATAATTGCTGTCCACAGGCAATTACACTGCTTTGCAAAATGGATATTTATCGATGAAATATTTAACAACATATCTACGTCTTTAGTTTGTTAGAAATCTCGTAGAGGAGTCTGTGAGTATAAAATTGCATGATGCACTTACTGTGCTGTGTGCACTGCTCCTTCTGCCAAAAGTATACTCCAGTGCTAGGGTTGGCTTCGGGGTTTCATCCCTTGAGCAGAAAAAGAAAATATACATTTGATTGAACTTGAGAGTTTATGGAAAAAAAGCTGCAGTTAAAAAAAAAATAAAAAAAAAAAATCAGCAAATGTGTTCCCCTCTAATTTGTGTGACTATTTTACATTAACTCCAAATTAAATACATATTATTTGACACGATGTGGCAAACTACAGGAAATAATAAAAATACCTTGTATATAATCATCTATTTTTGTTGGATTATTCTGACACAGTGTCAAATAAACTACTCACCTCTCTAGACATCTTAAGAGAATGGACGTTTTACCCTGAAAAGTGAATTTATAAGCAGTAAGTTTGAATCCTTTCAAGGTTTAAAGTTTGTCTTTCAACAATTCAAACCAATAAAATGTTTCTTCATGAGACTGTACGGACCCCTGCCTTGCTCCCCATTAGAAACACCGTCCGTTCGCAGACCGCCTCTCCTCCGTGCCCCTCTTCAGCATCGTTCTCCCGGTTCTGGACCTCCGCCGCTGCTAACTCCCATAACGTGTCTGTACTGTAAAGAACATACGAGAACAAACTCAGGAAGCTCTATAGAAACACTTCGATGTTTATAGAAGAGCTACGTGATAGAAGACAAACTATTTTCGGGGATTCTTACCTTTTTTTAACCATTGAGATGAAGAGCTAGCTAACTGAGAAGCGTTGCCAGGATACCGTTCTTCTTCTTCTTTGGATTAATAGTAGAGCTGGGTACTTTCTGAACTCAAATGCCGCCACCTACCGTGCGGAGCGTGTGAAGCAGGATTCAAAATCAGAAAAGGTAATAAAAAAAATCCTGCTTTACAAAATATAAAGATTGACTTACTTAAAAAAATAAATAAATAACTAGTTCCCAAATTATTTGTCACACAAAGCCATATTGAAATCATGTTCTAGATTTCCCTGTGTTGGATATAACAGCATATGAAATTTTGGTATTTTTAATTATGACAACCTCTAGGAAAATGAATACTATGCTATATTTTTCCAGCTAACCCTGACTTTTAAACTGTGCTTCAATTTAAAACTGCTATGCTTTTACTAAAAAAACAAGTATGAAAACTTACTTTATAATTTCATGAATTTGATATGTGTCAGCAGTACCACAAAGTACCACAATAAGCCCAATATTTTACCTATTATATAATAAATACACTGTAAAAATTGTGGTAGATTTGTCACCACTACCCCCAAGAACTAATTTCTTATAGTTTGTTTCTGAAGGCATAAAAAAATAAAAATAACACAGAATTCTTCTATTTTTCACTAGAAATCTAACATTTTTTTTACACTTAAACATAATCACTAACAAACCAGATAAATAATATCTTTTTCTTGAGCAAAATGAAACAAGTAGCTTGTATAAACATCATATGCAATTTTCCAGTATCAGAAATTTAGTTTTGCACCAGTTTGCATTTATTACAAGCACCTTAAAGCATCACAGAACAAATCTGAAAACATTTAATGAAATACTGTACAGAAAATAATGGAATCAAGTTTATGGCACATTTCTTTTTAAGCCAAACTAGATTCGTCTAGGAGGTCATCACAACATTAAACAGTTTCGTCGTATCCATTTAACCGCAGGTGGAAGTGATGGATAAATGTCTCCTTGCTGATGCACAAAAATAAATAAATAGGATCATGATTTTTTCCTGGGTTCATCACAATACGGCACATTTTCCAGGAGGAGACCCTCTCTGGGTCGAAGCACTGTGAGACATAAGGAAGGGAAAAATACGGGGTGAATGAAGAGTTGTATAGCATAGACATTATAGGTTATTATGTAGGAAACCACAATGTGTGAGGAGAAGAAGCATTTCATACAGAGCTTGTTTTCTTCAACATGCTCCACTTGCAGCACCGTCTCACGAAGAACAGCTTCCACATCTGAGCCCATTTTAATCATCTAAAAAAAAAACAAGAAAAAAAAACAAGGGTTAAACCAAACAAGTTTGATTTTACAGAGAACCAGAGGAAACACAAGGTGAGAATGTTAAATTATGATAACATGTGAAAAACTATAACCCCCAACACCTAATAAAAGAGTGGGCCAGCCTGGGCATCAGCAAGAGCCATCAAGAACTTAAAATAAGCTGAAATTAGTCTTGTATTGTTGACAAATCATTTAATCGGATCACTTTAGAGTTTCCAAGAATGAACAACCTTACAAAGGCTGCAACTAACAATTATTTTACAAATTGATTACTCTGTTGATAATTTTTTGATGAATCGATTAATAAACGGGTAGCCAAAGGTTTCTTAAAGAAGACTTTTTACTAAATTAAACCAGGAGAAACTGAAAGTTTTCCAATTGAGGAGTTCTGCATAAAGCCTAATGACAGTTGAAAGAGTTTTTTTTTTAAATCTTAAATGCAAAATATTTTTACATTTTTTTTTGATAATTTTGGTAGAATTACTGCTCTAAGTGGGTTGCTCTGTCAGCTAAATGCATGCCTAAGAATCTCTATAATTCAAGTAACGATCAATCGATTACTAAATCGGTTGACAATTGTTTCAATAATCTATTAATCTGATTATTTGTTTCAGCCCTAAGCCTAACTTTGACTAATCAGAGGTGGAAGTGAGCTTAAGGCAACCAACTTGATACCTGGTCTTTTTCATTCAGGATTACCTGCTAAAAACAGAATATATGGTTCCAAGAATTACAGCAATTCGCCCAGCTTCTCAGGCAGCAAAACAGCCCCTTAGCATCCCTTTTTTTGTTCTGAAATGCTAAGTTAGTTGTGTGCCAGTTGTGAGAAAAGGAAAGGTTCCACTTGTCAGTTTACAGAATATTTTCCAAAAGCCTTGGAAATCTTGTTTTTTAGAAATCTCAAAGGGGCCTTTGTTTTCTTTTTGATCAGCAAAGCTGCTAACATTGGAACTCTCTTTTATCACCATGAACACTGAGTTTATTTAACACAGGTAAGGCCTGTGGAGCGAGGCATGGCATCTTGTTTTTTTGAAATCTTTTGGGCTACTTCATGCTGTCAGACAGGTTACATTCAGGTTTGCCAGTAATAAACCTTAGGAGTGGGCAGTAAAATCATCCAGCTAACCAAAAAACATTGGTAAATTCAGCTCAATCCTGATTTAACAGGGAAACAAAAATGTTTTTAAACAGAGCAATGTCTCAACAGCTGTTTTCCCTAATTGACAAAATGAACATGCTATGTGCAGCTAGTCGGATTAACTAGAGAAAAAATAAATTCAGCCATTTGCTCTAAAAGGACAACATCTATAAAGAGTATTTTAACAGTAATAACCGATATGGAATTCTGCCTTTGCAGCAGTGGGGATAGATTTTACATTTCTGTTGCAAGTAAAGTCATTAGATAATTTTTCCTCTGGACCTTCTCAATGTTTTCTTCTGATATTTCATTTTTGTTCTTCTTGAACTCCTCGTTGATCTTAAACCGCGCAGCTGTGAGGGAGAAGACAAGAAGAAACCACATTAGTATAAAAGCACAGTATTTGTTATTTCTCCAGCAGAGGCGTACTCACCTGTCAGAGCTCTTGTATCATCTTTGAAAACATCAACCCTCGTCCTGTGCAGCTTTTTAAACACGCTCAGGACCTGCGTTTAGAAGCACAAATCGCCACATATTTAACAACTGTGAATGTAAACAAATATTACTGAAGCTTTGGGGCGGCTTAATATTTTTGAAAAGGGTATTTTTTCATAATTAGGCCAACAAAAAACATTAAACAATCACCTTCAAACGAGTTCCCATGGTGAGTTCTTCCTCTTTTATGTTATGGCGGATCGCAAGCAACTTTAAGGTGCATACCGCCACCTACTGTACATGAGTGTGTAGCAACATTACTTTAAATCAAATTTTAATTTTTAAAATTTTTATGCTGTAGATAAATAAATAATGCTTTCTTTAATCTGTGAATATCCTTTATATTTCCTTAATTTCCCAATATTCCTTTAAGAATCCATTCTTTGCCTGTCCTTCCTTCTTCTTCTTCTTCTTTTTTATGGCCGCAGCCAAGCAAACGTATTGATGCGCATTACCATAGATATCCATAATAAAGGGTTAGGATATCTATGCGCATTACCGCCATCTATTGGAATAGAGTGTGGATAGGAATACTATATATAAATAACCCGCCCACCCCCACACACCCCCACCCCCCAACATAAAAAAATAAAATTAACAAAAAGAAAAACGAATAAAAAAAAATATATAAATAAATACACCATGGTGAGTTTTTCTACCTACTTCCTATGATTGCAGTACATTGCCCAATCAGCGAACGATTTGAGGCTACGTCATTTTCTAGCCAATCAGCGTTCGACGTGCTCTAACCGACCTAAAAGTGGAAAGTGCTCCACCCCTCGTTTCATCTACGTTAACATGGCTGATGAAACGGCGAAAGCGCAGGTTGCCCAGCCGGGTGGAGACACGATATTTGGAAAAATCGTGCGTAAAGAAATCCCCGCCAACCTGATCCATGAGGACGATCAGGTATGCGGCCATAGCGATCCGTCCTGGGGGATTTTAATTTCAGCTCAGGCCCTCTGTGGTTCACTTTCGCTGCAGGATTGATCGCTTGCATGGTTCTGAGCTAGCTTTCAAGAAAGCAGGCTAAGACAAAGTGTCTGGGTTTAATTTACAAGCATAGAAAGTGTGCAAAATGTAAATATTTGAGAGCTAAATAAAAAAGTTATTAATTTAAATTGGTCTCAAACGGAGAGGTATGTGCGCCTTTGTACCTATGCCTCTTGCTGCAACTTGGTCACGTTCCAATTGGCTTTACTTGCCAATCCAGAGTTTTGCTTGCAGCCTAAAAATCAAGCATGCAAAACATGCAGAACACAACGATGCAGAAATGTCCCTGCATGCAATGCTATTTTAAAGTATGCATCATCTTGACATAATATTAGATTTAAAAAAACATGCAGTTTCACTTATGTTTTGTTTTGCTTTATTTTAAATTCTGATCACATTTACAGCCTTAAAACAGAAGCTTTTCCAAACTGTCTTTATTCCTCTCTCCTGTGAATTTTAGTGTGTTGCCTTCCCTGATATTTCTCCACAAGCTCCTACTCACATCCTGGTAGTCCCAAAGAAACCAATTGTCCAGCTTTCTCAAGCCGAGGAAAGTGATGCAGCAGTAAGTAGGATTCTGAATACAGGTGCTGGTCATAAAATTAGAATATCATGAAAAAGTAGATTGATTTCAGTAATTCCATTTAAAAAGTGAAACTTGTATATTATATTCATACATTACATACAAACTCATATATTTCAGATGTTTATTTTGTTTAATTTTGATGATTACAAATGACAACAAATGAAAATCTCAAATTCATCATATCAGAAAATTAGAATATTACTGAAGACCAATAAAAACAAAGGATTTATAGAAATGTTGGCCAACTGAAAAGTATGAACATGAAAAGTATGAGCATGTACAGCACTCAGTATTTAGTTGGGCCTCCTTTGGCCTGTATTACTGCAGCAATGCGGCGTGGCATGGAGTCGATCAGTCTGTGGCACTGCTCAGGTGTTATGATAGCCCAGGTTGCTCTAATAGTGGCTTTTAGCTCTTCTGAATTGTTGGGTCTGGTGTATTGCATCTTCTTCTTCACAATACCCCATAGATTTTCTATGGGGTTAAGGTCAGGAGAGTTTGCTGGCCAATTAAGAACAGGGATACCATGGTCCTTCAACCAGGTACTGGTAGCTTTGGCACTGTGTGCAGGTGCCAAGTCCTGTTGGAAAATGAAATCTGCATCTCCAAAAAGTTGGTCAGCTGCAGGAAGCATGAAGTGCTCTAAAACTTCCTGGTATGTGGCTGCGTTGACCCTGGACCTCAGAAAACACAATGGACCAACACCAGCAGATGACATGGCACCCCAAACCATCACTGACTGTGGAAACTTTACACTGGACTTCAAGCAACGTGGATGAAGTGCCTCTCTTCTTTTCCTCCAGACTCTGGGACCTTGATTTCCAAAGGAAATGCAAAATTTACTTTCATCAGAGAACATGACTTTGGACCACTCACCAGCAGTCCAGTCCTGTTTCTCTTTAGACGCTTCTGACGCTGTCTGTGGTTCAAGAGTGGCTTGACACAAGGAATGCGACAGCAGAAACCCATGTCTTTCATACGTCTGTGTGTGGTGGTTCTTGAAGCACTCACTCCAGCTGCAGTCCACTCTTTGTGAATCTCCCCCACATTTTTGATTGGGTTTTGTTTCACAATCCTCTCCAGGGTGCGGTTATCTCTCTTGCTTGTACACTTTTTTCGACCACATCTTTTCCTTCCCTTCGCCTCTCTATTAATGTGCTTGGACACTGAGCTCTGTGAACAGCCAGCCTCTTTAGCGATGACCTTTTGTGTCTTGCCCTCCTTGTGCAAGGTGTCGATGGTCATCGTTTGGACAACTGTCAAGTCAGCAGTCTTCCCCATGATTGTGTAGCCTATAGAACTAGACTGAAAGACCATTTAAAGGCTTTTGCAGGTGGTTTGAGTTAATTAGCTGATTAGAGTGTGGCACCAGGGGCCATCAATTTTGAACCTTTTCACAATATTCTAATTTTCTGATATGATGAATTTGAGATTTTCATTTGTTGTCATTTGTAATCATCAAAATTAAACAAAATAAACATCTGAAATATATGAGTTTGTATGTAATGTATGAATATAATATACAAGTTTCACTTTTTAAATGGAATTACTGAAATCAATCTACTTTTTCATGATATTCTAATTTTATGACCAGCACCTGTAATTCTCTGGATTAAAATTGAATTTAGGTGCATTTATACCGCTAACCACTAGATGGAGCCATTTACTAATGTATTTAAACTGGATAACTATGACTGACAAGAAACGCCATGATTTAATAGCTAACTTTTATTATTTTCATTTATAATTGGGGGAATCAATTTGTTAATAATTTGAAGAGTTAATAAAAATTTATTTTATACTGAAACATTTTTAATATTTCAGTGTTGTCGTTCCTATTGAGTTGCAGTGCATTTTAAGTCTATTTCTCAGCCTTAAGAAACAGACTTGTATGCTCTTTAATTATTATTTATTATTCTGTTGTATCTTACTATGTTTATTTGGGAATCTAATTGTTGCATTGTGATATTGGTATTTTAAATTTAGTATTTCAAATGAAGCCTTTGCTTTTGCAGTTGTTAGGCCACATGCTGATAGTTGCAAAGAAGCTCGCTCAGGAGGCAGGCCTGTCAAAAGGCTACAGGATCATCATCAACGACGGTCCTGATGGAGGCCAGTCTGTCTACCACATCCACATCCACGTGCTGGGTGGGCGCACACTGGGATGGCCCCCCGGCTAACCTTCATCACCCTGCGTCGATGGCCTTGTCGTGTCAATGTCTCCTGTCTGACATCATTCCTGTTGAATGGAACAGTGACACAAATGTGGAAACTCTGTGGTGTTAATAAAATAAGTACTCTCAAGGCTCTTGTGGTTTTTTTTTTTTTTACAGGGGGCTTTTAAGGTCGTTTTGTCCAACGTTTGGATTTTAGATCATTGTCATAAAACTTGTACGTATATATATGTGTGTATGTATATATTAAGCAACAAAAAACAGTCAAATTCTAAAGAGAGAAATTTAAAGCAGGGTTTGGTTTTAATACAATATCTGAACACCTCAGAACACTTGGTTTAATCTTTCATCAAATGGTTCTCCATCTGATCCCACAAGACTGACTTATCTAATGAAAGGACGGCGGCCTCTAAGGAGCAGGATTTGATTTCTTTAACCTAAATGCAAAATGCTATGTTTGGGGAAAAAAGACAAAAATCCACCCCCGTGAGAAAGCTTCACATTGTGAAACAGGGTGTTGAGAGCATCATGCCGTGGGCATGTTTTATTTTAGCATAGGCTAATGGACCGGTAATTTTTGATGGGAAGATGGATAGTTTTCCTTTTTTCTTTTTTTTTACCTTTCTGCAGAATTTCCTATACATTTAGCCAGAGCTACAGGACAGTGGAGTAAAGCCAATGTCCTGGCTCAATGAGTTCTTGCTTCATTTTTTCCCATGTTTTTAATTTAAACACTTTCAAAAAAGGTCGATTTCCTTCTTCTTCAGAACCATTTCACAATTTTTGTGCTATATTTCAAAATGTTTTTGGCTGGGGACAAAATGAGAAGTTTTGTTGGTGTAAAAGTTTTTCCACTGTGAAAATTTGTTTTGGTTGCAGAGTCTTCACAACATGTCATGTGCTTGCCAAGATCTCTCCTTGAAATCAGTGAGCTAAGCGGAGGGAACGCTTTCTGCTTTTGGGATAGTTGCTGATGAAAAGATTCAAACTGTCGGGTATTGAAATGTAAAGAGGCCTCAGGCCTCACAAAAGATTTGTGGACTCATTTGCATTTTGAGTCGACATGATTAATCGCCTGAAGCATAGAACAGGGTTTAGTAGAAACAGAGCTGCCCACCGCAAAGTTCTCACACCCCTACACTTTGGAAACATTTATCACCGTAGGAACTTACATCGTGTTCCCACAATAAAACCATGCAGAAGGTTGACCATTTCCTCCATCACTCTGGCTTTTATTTCTTAAAAGTTACCATTCAGAGGTAACGCATCACCAAAAGGTGTGGCAGCCTGTATGAACTTTACAAAAAGAAAAGATAGAGATCATCAGATCAGAAACAAAAACAGATCTTATTACCTGAGAAATGCATACCCTGTTTTTTACCCACAGAATTCCATATTTAAAGCATGGTGGTGGCAGATTCATGCTTTGGGATTCACAGTAGCCAACTGTAGAGCTAGTGGGCGAAAAAAAAATGTAACAGTGCATTTAGAGGATTCTGAAACTTTGAATAAAGCAATGATTCACGTTCCTAAAAAAAATAAAAAATAAGCCAAAATTGCAAATGTGTGGCTTCCTGTTATCATCTTTAGGATGCTCCGCCAGATCACAGTCCAGAAATATCAGTATACTAAAGATGTACATCCAAACCTACTGAGCTTTAGACATTCTGTAAAGAAGAATGGGACAAAAAAAGAATCTAAGAAATAGAGATATATAGTTTGGAGAGGTAAATCCAAGAGGACCTGAGACTTTTATCAAAGGGAACATATTTAACCATTTATTGTACACCTACAGAACACATAATGAGCCTTTAACTATATAAGATTTTATAAAGATTAATTTTATTTTGTGGTGCATTATGTATAGAAAATAAAACTGAACATATAGAGTAAATGGGGCTAAGTAATAAAACCAGTCAAAAAGTGAAGTTATATCTTTTAAAGCGGCATCCTACAACGAAATGATTGGAAAACTTGGAAGGCTATCTGTGAGACTTGATTATATAGTAAAGAAAATCTCACCTTGAGCCTGTTAAAATATGAATCAAACATCAGCAGAGGGACAAGTGAATAGCTCTTTTTTTTATTAACAGTAAGAATGCAGATAGTTGAACGAATATAAAATGCTTAAAACATCCACATAATATTAAAACAAAATAAATAAAAGTATTTTTCCTTTACAAAGTAAGAAAAACAAAATACAAAGAACACTGATTCAACGACACGTGTAGCATTTACAAAATATACCTACATGTACCTAGCATTCACAGTCCCCTAAGGTTTTCAATGGGCATCAGGAGAAGGAAGAAATGGCAACAAAACAGGTTCAGACAAGCAAGGCAGTCACTTCTGATACCAGGCAGACTGATATCCTCAGTTTAATGCTTTATGAGATGTGCAAAATAAATCCTTTAAAGAACTGCACCTTTTTCTTATTAATCAATGCCCCTCCGTCCTTTCAAACGGGCACTTTCAGGCATTTAAAATCAGCATACAGTACAGTACAGAGTACATGTATTCTGGTACCTAAAATCACTATTGTTTTAGGTTTCTAAGCACTAATACACTGTTTTAATCTTTTACCTAGTCTACATACAGACTACAAGCTGAGGAGATGTTCTGAAGAATGCTGAGTCTCTGTAAAGTAACTCCAAAAGCAGCGGAGTTGTTGAGAATAAAAGGAAAACAAGCCGTTTGAAACAGTCCAGGTAAGTTGGAGTGACCCTTCATAGGTGACGCTGAACGAAGCCTCAGGGTTTGCAAGCGAATTCATAAAAGACGGCAGCTATTTTTAAAAATGAAAAGGGATATTTGTGATTTATGTTATCTTAGAGACTCCTTATTAAAGATTTATGGATTACAGTGGCAAAAAAAAACTATGGGTTTAAACAGCGACTCAGTGAAATAGAAGTTCCATGATACCACAGGAGAAAATTAGAAAATATAGCTAATTGGGGGAAAAAAAAAACACAGCACCTTCTACATCAATTAGCACCCTTAAAAAGCCTTATAAAAATGAATCTTTTACACTAATATAATCTCACACAGAACATTTTCTCTTCAGTTGACCCGTAATCCTGTTCATAAATAAATAAAAAGGCCCTCTATAAAGAAAATAGAAAGGAACATACCCCTCATGTATGCTCTGGTTTAACAATAACTGATTGTTTTGCTACAAAAATAAGGTTTGTTTGTGTCAGACGAGGTTTAATGAATTAAAACGGGCAAACTGACATCACATTTTTATCTCAACTGATAGGGGAACCAGTTATTTAGCACCAGTGATTAGAAAAAAAATCAGTTATTTACAAACAGCAGGTTTTATCGCTGCTTCATAATTGTTTGATTTAAAAAAAATGTTCTGTGTGAGTTGCTGCAATCAAACTCTTTTCTTCCTCTTTTCATGGCGACTTATAAATAAGCATGCAGATTCACCTATACTAGGAAAGAATATGGCTGTTCACATCCAGCAAAGCAAAACATAAATTTTTTTTACTTTCTAAAAATATATTGGTTTAAAAAAATGGCACAACAGTGTGAAAATGGCTACACTTTGGTGAGCAATGAGCCAAGCTGCTCTGCTGGCTGAAGCCGCCATGTTGATATAAATTTAAGGTACGGAAGAAAGAGGACAAAAAGGGGGAGAGGTGTGAAACAGGCAAGTCAGCAGCTATAAGTCGATTAAAATCATTTTCTTTGAGTTAAAATGGGTCTTTATTTCCGGCATAATCTCAACACTTCTATATTCCAACCCTTGTTTGCAACTAAAACGATTTTTTTTTTTTTTGCAATGCATTCAATTTGTCTGAAAAATCAAGTCATAAAAAATGTGTGGCGTCTGAGGTGGAAAAGGTGTAATGCTGCTATGGAGGAGGTGTTTTAAGGCATGTCGTTAGTGTAGGAAGGGTCCAAACACATGAGGAAGGAATGAGGGGGGAAGGAGGCCGTCCGCTGGTAGCGTCCATCCGTCCATCCATTAAGGATGACAGGTGGGTTACTGGGCCAAGCAGCTGGAGGCGGAGATGGTTTTTGTCAGGCTATTTGATTAATCATGGGTCAGGTTCTGTATGAGGGTGTTTAGATGATCAATCAGTCAACAAGTAGCCAGGAAAATGGTGACCGATGGATAAAGAGAAGACTGTGTCTCTGTCAGCCAGCTACGCTCTACTACATGCCCGGGTCTTATTGATTCCCTATCTAAACCGCTCTATTCATTTCTGTGCAATGGCCTCTTCTCCACTCGGCCGCCTGCGACTGAATGGCAGCCCTCCAACGCTTGTTAGACCCAGACCTACGATGCTCTCTCTCGTGCTGCCCTCCATGCTGGTGGAGGACTGAACCCTGGTGGAGGCTGCTGAAGCTCCAGGCCCCGGAAGGATCTCTGGCAGCGAGTCTTTGGCTGGGCTGCTGGCGGAGGGAGGCGTGGTTTTGGAGGTTTGGGACTTGGTCGGGCTGCTCAGGCTGAGGCTGGCCAAGGCGTCTAAAGTCCCGTCCGGGTCTACCATCACGTTAATCACTGAGACGTGGAAGGAGAAACCATAAGCATTTAATCAATCTAACTTCTGCATTTTATTTGTAAGCTTTTATCTTTGGAGGATCTGTTCTGCTTTACCTTGGATCTGCTTCTCAACTCGCTTTAGTTCAAGAAAAATCGAGGAGATTTCCTGCAGAGAATAAAATCATAATAAACAATAACTTCCACTGATTTTTTGACTCCCAGCTTAGCCAGATAGCTCTCTGTACCTTATTGGAGGTTTTCAGAAGTGGAGCTTCACTCTCTGACTTCAGTTGACTCTCAATCTCATCCCAGTTCCTGTCCTTATCTTTGAACAAGATCCTGGGAGAGAAGAAAAACAATCACACATTTGTATTTACAACATTAGTGAGTTTTCTTTACATTTTTCAACAGTAGGGCCACATACAGAGGTTATAAACCATCGTAAGTCTAGAGTTTCTATAATCCTCTTTAGCCACTGGTATAGCTCGTCTCTACCAGCTCTATCTATCGGCTAAAAGTTAGATCCAAATAAAAAAACGCAGCAGAATTTGTCGTTTCAACCTGATGAAAAATCAGTTTAAAAGGATCTGTAAATAATTATAAATACCTGATCTTTCCTGCTGTTCTGTCCACAGAGTGTCTGATCTTGGTCGACAGCTGAGACACGGAGTGAATAAGGAGGCTGTCCAACACCGCCTAAAAAAACACCATAATTAAAGAATTAAAGCATACCTTAAACTGAAACACCTCCTCCTGTCTATCAGCTCCTCACCTCCTCTCGGTTCCAGGTGCGCCTCCGTAAGGCCCGTGGTTCCCGGCTGTCCGGAGCTCTGGGTTGGTGCTCCACAGGCTTTCCATTGATCTCTGGTGGCTTATTGGACGAAATAACCGGAGGGATCTTTCTGAATTTGAGGCTTTCATCGAACACTCGATCCACCAACTGAGAAAGAGCAGAGAAAGATGTAGCGGACACAAAGGAGGACAACATATACCAAACACCTTGCAGTTATATCTAAATAAGTTGCATAAAGATGTTAGCAATGGTGGCTGGCCAGTAGAGGGCGCTAGGACCCTGATTAAGACATAAAAAAATATATAATTTCATTTTAAATTAAAATTGAAAATATTTTTGTATGTGCCAGATAAATATTTAATCTTTAAAGGGACACTATGCAACATTTTTCAGTTAATTAATGTGTTCCATAACGTTATGGATGATTAAATGAGTCATTTCAGGTTGAACAAAGGTATTCTCGGCCGCCCTGGTGGTCTGTGGGGGAAATACTGCACTTGCAACTGCAGGAGCACCGACCCGCACCCACAGGCTCAGAAGTCTCGTGAGAGTCAGTCTTGCTTTACGGCGAGAACTGCTACACCCCCCAGTTAAAAGCATGCTCGTTGCTAGCACAGTGGCAATCTTTGTGCAGTTATGCTACGTTCACGCAGCAAAAGCAGCAAAATCGCGTCTGCTGCTTCCTTTTTGCTGCTTGTACCAGTTAGTTCTGACGCGCGGCTGAAGCAGCTTTGCTGCTCTGGCTGTGCGGTGCAAAAGTGTGTCTGAGGCGCGTTGGGCGGAGCTTCACTATCCTTTCTCTGCCTTGCAGCTATATTTGCTGTGATCAGTGGGAATAAAGTAGTTTTAATATGTGTTAAGTGAGAAAATACACCTGAAAACTTAATCAGTGCCGTCAGTTCATTCAGATTATTATCCTGCCTTCAATATTTTTTCTGTCGGAGCCGCTCAGACCCCCACATACCAGGGATGCGCCGACAGTATGGATCCCTTCATCAGCAGCGGTTCACCGCGGCAGCTGGTAAGTGTTTTTCATCTAAATAATCCAAACTGCATATTCTGCCGGCAGATTTCTGCATTTTAAGTTAATTTAGGCGTCAATAAACTGTTTAAGAGGAGTGATCATCAGCGCTGTGTCTCTCTCCCTGCGTTAAACGCACCGACGCGCTGCTTCAGCTGCTCAGACGTGCTGCGCCTGCTGCACGTCTGAGCAGCTGGCGCAGCACCGCACCGCGGGACCTTTTGCTGCGCCTTGACGCGCGTCAACCATTGACTTTGCATGTAAACTCGCTGCTTTTGTCGCGCCAGCTACGTCCAGTGTGAACGCAGCGTTAGTCATTCGTTGCTAAGCTCAAAACAACCGCGCCTGGCTTGACGGAGAAACCAGGAGAACAGCTGAGCATATTTACGACAGTGCACTTTTACTTTCGCCCTCTGGGGGGAGCCTCGCTGGAAAATCAACACCGGTTGCATAGTGTACCTTTAATGACTAGTTAAGCCTACTACCTTTTAGGGTGCAAGAATGTTTTCACATTGACTCTTGTTAAAAGTTGTACATGCGCTGTAGCTCCTCTGCAATACAAAGGTATAGGATAGCCTAGGGCGCAGCTAAGCAGCGACCTGAGGTGACAGGAAGTGTATTTGCTCACCACCTTCCACCACAGCGCAGAGGTTTTTCAGGTGATTGACAGGTCGACTCGCGGAAGTGGAGACGCATTGGAGAGAGAGAGAAAAATGTTGCAAGAAATGTCCTTTTCCAGGACCTGGTTTAGCAAGAAGGCTTGGCTAACTGCATGTAGTGAGGCTAATCCTGTATTCTGCTTTCCCTGCATCCTTTTTCTAACGTCAGGATCTGACCCAGCATGGATAAATATAGGAACCATTATTTAAAACACTTTTTAGAAAAGGCAAAGAGACATGAAGAATCTGGGATTCACATGGAAAATAATATAGTGTACTTTTAGTACTTATAGTTTTTATATTTAAAAAAATATATATAAAGCTGACCAATAGATTCTCCATTATTAAATTGGTAATTACATTTTTAGGTTTGTGACGCCATATTGGGCCATGCAAAACACAGATTTGCCTTCACAAAGCCTCAGAAAGGCAAGATTTATATAAAAAAATTTAACCTGTACATGAAATTAGGTTTTATGTAGGTTATTTGTTGTTGGCATTCATATAAATATGGAGTGATAACTTGGTATATGTTTGATTGGTTTTTGGTATATGTCTTTTTTTAACTTATAGCCCCCATGGAGAAAACCCCACCAGCCGCCACTGAATATTAGAATTTGAGCAAAAAGAAAGCTAGGCCTTTAACAATTTTAGAGTTCATAGAAGTTAAATTTAAAAGTAAATGTAGAGAAATAAAAGCACATGAGAACTATGAAGCAGCAGAAAAGCAGTCTTAAAGGAGTCAAAGAATGCAAAACCGAGTTTACATTGTCATAGATGAATGATAGTTCAGTGGTTGAAATGGACGCACAGAGAAGTTCAAACCCCATCGAAACCTAATTTTTCTTCAAATCTCAGAATTCTAAACTTATACCATAAAACAGGCTAATTCAAACAAAGCACCAAGTTGACGTCAATTTGGTGATGTTGCCTTATTTGGTTCTGGCCTGTACTTTTGCAGCCAAGTGTCGGCTGCTGACCGGACCTCAGCAGAGTGCCATGAGCCGCCCGTCCTCAGCCGGAGGAGGGGGGCTGGCAGGCTGGTAACAGATATTCCAAGACTCCCAGAAGTTCCAGGACTGTAGTCGACCAAAATCCTGGACAATTTTGAATTCCCCCTTGACATTTCTTTTTGCATGAAAAGTAGGACATGTCCGGGAAAAAGAAGACGTCTGGTCACCCTACCATATCAACAATTTGATGTTTCAGTGAGTGAGTGCTTGTTGCTATGATGCGTCTTTGCTCAGCAGCTTCGCTCATTGTAAACCAACCAATCAGTGCACAGCTCATCATATTCATGAGCATACCATAAAGGGAAGAAAACTAGTTTCATTCTAGGGCTTATAACCAGGCCTGCATTAGGGCTCATAGAACAACAAATATGCCTTGTTTAGCCCAACCAATGTTACACATCCTATTCAGAGACCTTAAGGACCAGCACCAAATACCCTATAGAATCATTCAATGACCCCTTTAAAGAAACGGGAAAATTGCGATAGAAGTACACACAATAAAGCAATAGAAGAAGAAGAAGAAGAAGAAAACCAGGCACCTTTTTCATGCTCTCCTGTATGTCCGGCTGCGTGGGGCGTGCAGGGCCTACCTCTTCCCGGGTGTCGATGGCCGAGCCCGGGGTGGTGGCAGCTGTGCTGACGGTGGTGCTCGGGGCGGTGCCGGAGGAGCTGACTGAATCTATCTCCCCGGCAACATCGTGGATCTCACGGGCCAAGATGGCCAGGTCCTTAGCCAGGTCCTGGCTGATCCTGCGCACACATGGGAACAACCTGTTAATCAGACAGGGCTCTTTAGGACTCAGAATGGATCTACAGCACAACACGCATTCAGCTATTATATACTGCAGTGTCAACTAGTGAATCAGGCCTACACAGATCAGCCAGCATCAGTACCTGGCTATTTCTTCGCTGTGAGCAGTCCAGTCCCTGATGTAACCATCTTGCTCTTTCATGCGGTGTTTGATGCCTACGCCGCCGGGACCCTGCCCCACTCCTGGTGGTCCTGCGCTTGAGGTGGAGCTGAGCTTTGAGCCGCGGTTTTGGACGAGATGATGGGGCCGGACGTGGGAGCGAACTCCATGCTTTGCAGAGTTCCGGCCGGAACCAAACTCCTCTTCAGAGGTGGATCCGTACTCCGGTGGCAGACGCCTCCACCGGCTGCTGCTGGACACTGCAACAGTAACACGAATGAAGCCCCAGGTCAACTCTGCTTTGATTGAACAAACTCAAGATGGATCTGCTTTGATAGCAGTTTCAGTCTGAATAAATGTAAGCTTTAAATAGTGTTCAGAGGTAATCAAACCCTCATCATGAGGGACCACACTTTGACTTCAACGAACAAGAATCTGGTGCAAAAATTGATTTTTTTCCAGTGCAAGTCTGGTCAAAATGAAACTGAAATTTAAACACATCACTAATGTTTGACTAAAACCTAATTTAATTCCATTTAAAAACAACTTTTTGTGCAAATAAACAAGTTTGACATAATTCTGTCAGTCCTTAATAATGTTTAGGCTCACAGACCCAGTCCTGATATTTAGTCTTTATATGTTCCTTACAGTTCGGACTCTCCAGAAGCTAAATGCTGCAAACTTTTTCACTCATGTTTCATTAAGACCAGTGCTCTCTGACATTTGGTCCTATGATGAGCTCTGACCACCACTGTGTGCTACAAGCATGAACTCCTCTCCAGATGAAATTAGCCCGCTCTAAATCTGTGAAGGATTGATTTGGCAGGGCAGCATGTTCAGCAACAATAAAAGCATAAAAAAGCAGCAAAAAATATTTCAAAGCTCTTAAAGCTACAGTGTGTAATTTTCAGCGACATCTAACGTCCAGACTGCAGACCGCAGCAACATGAACATCTCTCCCCCACCGCTTCTCCCCCCCAACAGTACGGCGAGCGTTACGGGACAAAATGCCTTCCACGACGTCCGCATCACCTACCTTCTCAAGTGATGAGGTTTGTTTACATAGATAATTTTACAGATAGTATTTCATTAGTCTGTGTAGGGTATAGATTTCATGTAGACTTAAGATAATAAATATACCCGTTATTTTTTCTACATCGTTGTGATGTTTTGGTGAGCTGCTTTGCATGGTGATATAAACAGACAAAGTAATTGTAGTCATTAGTTTAACAGTGAGATTGTGTTCGCTGGAAGAATATATATTCCCCGTTTACAGAGTCCAAGTCTTGTTTGTGGCACGGGGGTTACAAGCAGTGTTGGGAAAGTTCTCTTTCTATGTGAACTAGTTCAAAGTTCAGTTCACACATTTTAAAATGAACTAGTTCAGTTCATAATTCAAAATTTTGAACTAAGTTCACAGTTCCAAAAAATGAACTAGTTCATAGTTCTTTTTTTTTTCATATATTGCTCAATTACACCATAGCCTACTGTAGAACCACAGACAGCAATTATTTTATCAGTTGTAACACTGAAACTGTGCGTCAGATTTCATCTTCATATCCAGTTTTGAATCCTTATCCAACCAGGGTTTACATTAGCATTGAGGGGACAGCATTTCCCCATTGTTGCTTTAACGCTTTGTTGCTGTCCATTCACTTCACACTAGTAGCGGCTGCAGCTTTCACCCCTACAGTATATTCTCAAAAACATCAGGAAAAATGTGCTGCTTGAATGGTCTTTTTTATGAGGAATTATTAAACGAAAAACAGGAAAGTAGTCTTTAAGGTGCAAATGTTTTTTTTTATTTTTTTATAATTTTTTCCATTTGAAATGCCATTTCAATACATACTAAAAAGGAATACTGGAATCCTGGAAAATTATACCAGGCAGGTTTACATGAATAGTAAAACCCTCAACAACATTTTACTAACACAAACTGAGGGACCAGGCTGAGGTAGGAATTTAAGGTTACTGAAGTGCGGATTTTTTTACTGAAAGCCGGCGGGCAAAGTTTGCAGAGAAATGTAAGATTGTTGCCATCATCCTCACCGACCACCTGGTCATAAAACTGTTTTAAGTGATCATACTGCTGCTTTGTCGCATCCACGGTCGTCTCCATGCTGCTGTGGCTTCCACGCTGCATTTTGTTTTGATGACGCACGCGGCTGTAGGCTACGACACTGCTAGCTGGTGTTGCCAGATTGGGTGTTTTTCCCGCCTCATATTAAGGCCTGTTTACGGTGTGATTTAGCCGGGGTTTCGCCTGGAGGGCTCTATAGAAATCTGGCAACCTATTGAACGGAGTTGAACTGAGAGAGCGTGCCGTTCACAGACACCAGAATGAACGAGTTCACAATAACGTTCATCAGGCAGTAATGCAGTATGTTCAGTTCACGTTCGCCCAAAATATGAACGAGTTCATGAACTTTCGTTCAATGAACGCGTTCAGGCACAACACTGGTTACAAGGCGAGGAAGGGGGCGAGGAAGAGGGCAGAGAGGCCGGGGTGGGCGTGCAGCCAGGGCCAGGCGAGGGAGAGGTGCCAGCGGGGTGACTAGACCAGAGGAGGAAAGGCTTGAAGATCTCCAAAGGAGCCGGAGAGAAGTAACCGAGGTATATATCCAGAAAATTATTTGACAGAAAATTACTGAATCATTACCTGTAAAACATCAGGGACGTTGCTGAATAAATATACTGGAGAGTAACAGCATCATCACGCAGCATGTTATTGTAATGGGCGATCTCGCAATCGCTAGTTTGTTGGCTCTGCGCTGCCGTAGCGCAAAGATGTCTGCCTCCATGGCTGCGAGACCCGCTCCTATGTAATTATAAATAACGAATTCTAAGGCAACGCAAATATTAAGGTTAAGAGGCTGAGCTCGTAGATGATGATAAATAACATAGTTATGTATAATATATCACATTTCTGACTGTATATCCCTGTAATTATTACACATTGTAGCTTTAAATGCATCAAAGTACAAGAAGCAACAATGCTGCATGTTAAGTTGTCTTCAAACATTCAAACAGCAGGTCTGTTAGTCCAATTCTGATGTGATGAGATTACACCTTTCTTCAGAGTAGCAAGGACAAAGTGTTACAGGTTGAGTAAAGTATTTTGCTTATAAATATAGCATTACTGAATGGATTTAAGGATAAGCAAACAAAGTTAACTATAAAAAGCTTGGTAGAGCTGGGTTATCATTGCAGAGACTTATGACGTTTTAACAATAAAAACTATTATTTAGTTTGTTTTTAATTTCCTTTAATTATAAAGATTATATATATATCCTTAACAAAAAACACTCTACACCTCCTTAGGAGGATGATTTTAGACCCAGGTCTGAGATGTTAAAATACACACATGCACTGCACACGAGTAGTCCTATTGGACTTAATAGTTCTGGTACTGTACCCATAAGCTCTTCCTCTGCATCATCATCTGCAGGTTCAGGCTGAGAGCATTCTGAACAACGAAAACCAATGGATGAGGATATGACACGACAGCCTGGGCGTTTTACTGAAAACTGTTTACACCATAAATGCACCAAGAAATCACTTAAGTCTGCTGTGTTTTCCAATCATTGAACACACCATAATGAGAGCAAACAGGACGCATCGCCAACACTCTTCATTGTCATTACAATGACTGATTAAAGACAGTTGGTTGACCATGGAGCTACTAGACGTCCTTTTTAAAATAACCCTCTATTCTCAATGACATTTAAAGGCACATTTTAAATTCATTAAAGTGTGAGAGCAAGAATTTCAGTAGAAAACGTGAAGGCTGAATATTTGAATGCTTCTGTTTTATTACTTTGATCTGTATCTATGAAACATCTGAATACTTGACAGCTGTTTTTTTTGCCACTTAGCCACAAACAAGATGCTGAACAAAGTTAAAAATGTAAACTTTCAGTTTATTTTAATTTTGATGAGTCTGGCAGCAGCTGATCTCTTATAGACCTGTTGAAAATGTAAAAATGTTACTTTATTTCTTCTTTCGCTGACTAGTCTAGGTTTTGTTGATAATGAAGGTATTTATTTTCTCTTTGCTCACCTGTGGGCGAACAGTATCCAGATGTAGTGGTTTTGGCCTTTGGCTCGTTGAGTTTAGATACGCTATTTGCTCTCATCTTTGACGTCAGACGGTTTTCTGTGGGTGTTGAGGAGCGCAGGCCGAGACGTAGAGCGGTCTCGGCGGACAGGCGGGTCGAAGAGGCGGAGGGCCGGCTTACTGTGCACTCTGAGTCACTGCGCGCTGAGATGGAGCCCAGACGGTTCCTCCGCGGCTGAGCCAGCATGTCCAGCCGTGACAACCCCTTCCGACCGGTTGGTGGCTTCGAGGTGGAGCTTGTTGTGGACACCTCTGAGGCTACAGAAACACGGTCTGCGTCGGCCAGGTCTGTGTCAGACGTGTCACCCAGACGGGCCCGGCGGAGTAGGGAGGCTCTGGTGGGCCGTGGTTGAGGCAGAGAGGCCTGTTTATTTAGTGAAGAGGCTGTTGCTGCCTGAAGATTTCGGTTGCTTTTAGAGGCGCTGCTCATGCTCGTTTTGGAAGATCTGCCATCAAGTTTGGAATTGAGGACATCCTCTGAGCCTCGTCTATGCACAGAGTTCCCCAAAGGCCCAGAATAGGTTTCCTGGTCTGAAGAAAGAATGTCTGAGATGGGGAAGGAAGAGGTCTGGTCATCATCAGTGAGATCCAGAGAAGGCTGGCGCCCTCTAGAGGTGGGCTGCGAGGAGCGACGTGTCTCATTCCGGGTTGTTGCTTCAGCCGTTTTGCCTTTAGCCTTCCTCTCCAAGCGTTCCCGAGCACTAGAGTTTCCAGAGGTTGTCTTAGAGGCTGTGCTCATGTTGCTCTTTTCCCGATGCATGCTGCTAAAAGACTTTCGCTTTTGCATGCTGCCAGTTGCAGTCTTTCCCCCTGCTTCTGCAGCAGCGTGACTAGCTGTGCTGGTTGTGTCCACATCTGACTCAGGAGATATAGAGCCAGTCCGAGCAGGAAGGCATTGGCCAGTACCTAGAGGAGTTTTACCACTTTTTTGGTCTAGTTTGTTCTCATCTCTGAGCTTAGCCTCCAGAAATGCCATGACAGCCTCTGTGTCTTTAAGTAGAGTTGCTGTATCCATACTGCCCACAGAGTCACTGTGTTCACGCCCATTGTTGCCTTTGTTGATCCGAGGGATGAGCTCTGGAGGGACACTAGAACTGGGCTTCTCTATGGTAAAGCTACCCTGGCGGACAAGAGGCTTCCCGGATTTCTCTCCTCCTTCTCCTGCTTCTCTCTCATTCCTCTCCTCTGACTTCTTCCTCCTTTCGCTGGTCCGGATAGGACCTTTAGATGGAGAGGAAGTGGTGGAGCTTTGTTTCAGCTTGTTGGTCATTCCAACACCCTCCATGGGGGTTGGGGACTCTCCGTCTCCCTTGTTCTCTTTTTCCTGGGGTTCCGTGTCCTGTTTCTCCCCTATCTCAGACCTCAGTGCTTTGGGACTGGATTTAGCCCGGGGGTCATCCACTGGGAGCTGGGGGAGGGTCCTGCGCTTACGGTCAGTCAGGCTGGAAGAGGGTTCACCTTTGTCCAGGGGAGGGGCGGTAGACTCAAAGGCATCAGCTCCTAAGCAAGAAAGACAAACCAAACTCAAAATATGATTTGATACTGTCTCACAATGTATGTACATTTTTAAAGTATTATTCAAGCATCTTGTTCTCATGGGTTTGAAAAAAACATACCTCTTTCTTTGTGCAGGAATGTTGCTGCTTCTGCACCAGAGCCTTCTGGGTCTGTCCTGGCTTGATTAGCAGCTAAACTGGCCCACTGAGAAACCCAGCTAGGGTCACCAAGAGCCTGAGGCAACATAAGAATAAAGATAAACAAAAATAATCCAAATTATAATTACACTCATCATGGACATGGATGTCATCGTAATTAGGGGCTTTTTATGATGTTTGACATAATCCTATTACAATGTTCCTTCTCAGGGGGATAATAATAATAGGATTTTTTTAATTATGTGCAAACGTTACATTTTATAGGGTTTTAGTTATCTAAACAGGTTAAAAACTATACGTGCATCATCCTCCACAAGAATCTGCAGAAAAAACTCACCCCTTTCACAGTCATAAACAATTTAGATCAGTATTATTGAGCTACTCCTCTTATCAGCAATTGTAAAGCTACTTTAAATAGATTGTTTTGCTCCCAAGGGCTCAGCTTTTAGGTATTAGTTGTCAATAAGGTTTAGATCGATGCAGTTTCACAGACCCAACTCTTATCCTGCTTTACTCGTTCCAGATCAGCTTTTTTATGCGTTTGGGTTCATTGTCTATATCCCAGTTAGCGTTATTGAAAATGAAGTGGCAAATCGTCTGACATAATGTCAGAGCAAAACACCCTGTCTTTAGATGATAGTTTACTGGAAGTGTTTTAAATATTCCACTCTATTCTACTATTCTATATACTAAACCTAAAGGTTCTTGTTTTTAAATATCTTATAGTTAAGTCCAATTATAAAAGTGTGTTAGAAAAAGATTTTATGTTTGTTCAGTCAATATTTAATACAGATAGCACCATACATTTCTAAAATATAATTATGAACTTTATTTGCTATTTTATTCAGGAACTTGTAAAACATATTTAGCCCTTTATGTTATGGAATGATCCTCCTGATACCAGAGAAAACTCAGGTTTTTAAGCAAATGACTTCCTATCAATTAATCATTAGTCGCTCAATAATATCAGTCATTTTCAGATACATTTATTAAATAATAATTAACATATCTTCTTGGGACTTTTGTCACTTAAAGATATTTTCCACAAAAGACTGCAATAGCATCAAATATATATTTTTTTAAATAATATAATAATTCCACCCTTTAAACAAATGTTCTTCAATAATAGCATGGTATTTATGATCATGATGAGTCTATGAACCTATAACTGGCTTATTTATTACACTGGAAATAATGCATTTAAATTGAAAACTGAAATAAAGTTTCCAGATTCTATGATGTGTGTGTATCACTTGGAAAGAAAATAATCTAGATGCCATAAAAGACCAATCAAACAGGCATTTAGGATTTCAGTGCAGAAAGATGCTAAACTCCCCCCATGAAGATGCCTGCAGGGCTGAATGTGTCTCCTCATCCAAATGTGATCTAGGTCATTCACTGCGGGAAACCCCTCCTCCCATCTAACAGCCTGGTGGGGTAAAGTAGTCGAGTCGCAGGAGTAACAGCCTTTCATTACTACACTTTGTCTACATTTTCTACAAAAACTACAGACCAAATTTCCTTCAGGGAGATTTCTGAAGCCCAAAAAAGGTTTTTACCTGTTTCCCAATTTCGCCTGAATCCTTTCCTTTCAAGTCAGACAGAAGGGAGGCACTCGTATTGTCCTGAACCCCGAACACCTAAAACAGTAAAAATAAACTTCTGTGAATCAGGAAAAACAGGCAGAATATAATTTGGTAGTTCATTCAAACAATGCATAACCATGTATGACCGATGCACAGTGGACATACAATACAGACATTAAATAAAGTCTCTCTCAGATCAAGGAAGAAAAAAACAGAACAAGTTGTTTATTCAAAGCGCTCATCTCCAGTTTACAGATTATGTAAATTAACCAAACAGAAGCAACAACAAGCAGTTTATAAATGGGAGAGGGAGAGTGGACAGCTGTGAGCGGTGTGCCAATTAGTGTGTCAGCTAATTACTGGAATTAGCATAACAACACTTCCTGTTTAGAACCTAACACATACAGACTCACACTAATTATATAGCAGTTTGCCTGTGTTAAATATTAGCAAGGTGTGACATCATTTTCTTTATTTATTCTAAGAGTGCAAAAAGGAATCAGATGAATGAACCATAGCTAAGTAATAACAATAGGAGTAAAAACAAAGCCTTTGGTATGTATGCTGCTACCGAAGGAAGAAGGCTACATTATACATCAGCTGTGGTTAGAGATGGTTTAACAGTCAAGAGAAAAGGTTAAAGACATTTTGTTTTCTACAATATATCTAGATTAGTCTATCTTTCAGGTTGAGAGGGAAGAAGAGAGCCAGATATTTAGCAGATAACAGGAAGCCATACAGGAGTTAATTAAAGTTGCTCTCTTTTCTGTTTTTATTAATTTCAACTTCTGTCTTACATAAAACTTGCAACACTTTAAAAAAGGAGCCATATACGTGCGTGTATTTGTTGATTCACTAGCGCTTTCGGCTGTCATGCCTTGAGATCATGTGAAGTTTAGTCCTTGTAGCTCCCTTCACTTGCAATCAATTATTAACACATTTTGTTTAATCTGTTAATAAATTCTTACTTCTCATGTAACTTTAAAGCTGTGTATAATTTTTTTTATCAGATTGTTATTTCTATCATGTAATTAAAATAAGAAAAAAGCACTATTGGCTTTAACAATTGCCAGCAGATGGAAACAAAGAATGATGGAAAACTTCTTTCCAGAGTCAAAACAGACTATGTAAACATGTATTATTAGTCTTAGTCACATTTTAGTGATTAAGATATGTGATAGTTTTAATCAGTTTTAGTCGACTAAAACTTAAAAAGGTTTTAGTCAGTTCTATGTTGCAAAAAAAGTGAACCTTTACGATTTCGAATGACAACCAGATTCTTTCCCAGACTAACAGCACTTGCCGAGATACTACAATTGCTGGGTGTAGATGCTGCCGTGCAGGTCATCATTGGTGTTGGGCAGAAAACTTTGATTTGTAGAATTTAAATAAAATTATTTTATGAATTAATGCCCTACTTTATACAAAAGTGTCTCACAAAAGCTGTGAAAATAGCAGATCTAGTTCAATACATTATATTTGTTAATAAAGCAGACAGACAAGCTAATATAATGTACAATAAAGGAATGGTTTTAGACATACAAGGTTTCCATCAAAAGCAAACACTTCCCGATCTACTATGAATTATGCATTACACACATATCAATAAAATCTTCATTGCTCCAAAAAAGCAAAGAAAAAACATTCTTCTTTCTACTTTGGCAATTTTGGCTTTATTTCTTCAATTTGCCCCTTGGTTACTGCTGCTCAGGGGTCAAAGTAGATTTAAATTCATGGGGTTTTGATATTTAAAAAAAATACTGGGAGAACCTACATAATTAGCTTGTAATGCCATGGCAATCTAGACCTAAATTGAATGAATACGCTAACTAAAATGTTGAAATATTTAAACGAAACAAAGAAAATGTTTTAATGACAATACAAGGAAACAGAATGAGCACCGCTGCACGGCAGGTGGGCTGCGTGTTCAAACAGGACGCAGCAGCACTGCTGATACTGCTTAGCAGGTTGCAGCGCCAATAATGCAGTTTAAATTCCTGACAGACGACCCACTGATATTGATTTAGACTCGTCTCGTTGTCGAAAACTCACACCAATAACTCGCAACTTTTCGTCAACAAAGATCCATGTTTAGCTCATCAGTTTTAGTTATCGGCATGAAAAAAAAGGAGCGTCAAAACAAAATAATTTCGTCATCCTCATTGTTGACGAAAACAACACTGTAGCATACATTGTTTTAATAAGAATTAGTTTTTTGTAGCTTTTTTTTATAGTCAGTCACTTTTAAAGCGCTTCTAAGACACATTCACTTTTAATGATCTTTTGTAGTGTTATTCTTAGCTTTTTTAATTTGATTTTTAACGGTTTACATAGTAGTTTTTACACACCATCGGAGCAAGAGTTCAAAGTAAATATTAAATACTAGTGCTTTAAACAAAAACTTTCAGAGACATCTTGTCAGTTCCGAGTCTAGAAAATAATAATCTATTATAAAGCTACTCTTCTACTACTATCATACTTCCAATTATATCATCTAGTTCTGTTATAATTCGATTTTTCAAAATGCTTTGTTCTGTCAAGAGTGTTAGAAAAAATAGAAATGATGTATTGGTGGTCGATCTAGCCTCTTTGCTTTCTACCATTTTTCTCAGATTGGTCACTGTTAATGTGCACTCTTCACAACTTTGTCACTTTATTTATTATCTTTTTAGAACTCCTTGGCGACTGTTTAAAAAAAAAAGTGACTAGCAACAAATCTGACAGTTGTATTCTGTTCACTCTCTGGTTACTGGCTTCAGTGAGCAGTAAGTGTTGCTGTGAGGCCCTTACACCTCCAAAGCACTGACAGGACGTCAGTCTAGACAGCCTTGTGCTGCAAATGCTGCCTGCAGAGTGTTTTTTTTTCTAATCCATTTCCCCACTGAAAATGAGACAATGCTGCCATTGATCCCACTCTGGATTACAAAGCAAGATGTATAACTTTTAATGCAGTGGATTTTTATCCATCAGAAGTGTGGCACTTAAATAAATGCATAAATGCAAACTGCATTTGACTCACACAAACCCTAATGATGATTTATACAAGCACTGTGAAAAGAGAATTTTTGCTGATATCTCAGAATAGTCCTACCTTGTCTATCATACGCCTGGCCTCTTCTTCTTCTGGGTTTTTGTTCTCCAGCTCGATAGTGTAGGTCCCTTTATCACTATGGTCGTCATCTGCCTCTCCGCCCGCAGTTCCTGCTCCTCTACCGAGAACTGATGTGTCCTCGCTGGGGGTTGTTGGGCTGCCCGTCGCCAGCCCAGTACTAGCCGAGCTCCGACCGATACTTTGGTCTTCTGACCTTTGCTTAAGGAGCACACGGGCAGCAGTCGGAGCACCAGCAGTCACTGTAGCTGGTATCGGAGCTGGAGCTTTACCTGAAGCACAGAAATAGAGAAATGGTCTAAACTTAACAATCTTTAAGGAGAACTTACTTTCTTAATCTTTCAAAGAGAAGCAGAATTTTTAGAAGTATTCAAAACCAATTTATATTTTTTGTAAGAATTGGGAATTTCAATGTATTCATTTTATGTGACCTAACAGCAAGGTAAAGTATTAATTCAGGTTTGTTAGAAAGCAATATTATGAAGACCAGCAGAATTATAAGTGTTTAAGTTAAGTTTAAAGTAAGGTTTTCAGAGAGCTAAGTTTAACCTATCATCTTAAAAAAGGAGATTATGTAACAACATCCAATCTACCAAGACCTAAACTAAGAGGCTGGGATAATTGACAACTTATAAGAGAAGCAGCCAACAGGCCAGAGGGAACTTTGGAGGAGCTGCAGAGATCCACAGCTCAACTCTTCCTTAAACAATCCACAAGCCTTGCCTTTGTGGAGGCGAGGCAGGAGGAATCAGCTTTTTTCACCAACTTTGGTCACACAAACAAGGTATTTGGCTTTGGTCTTTATAAAGATATTAAGAATAAAAGCATATATAAAAAAAGAAAATCAGATAAATAAACGAATGATTCAGCAACATTTGCAGTTTGGTACTAGCCATGAAAGGGACACAGCAAACACGGAAAAAGATTTAATCCAAACGAAAAACGCAGATCAAAAATATTCCCACAATAAAACACGAAGGTGGCAACTAGATCACTCTGGAGGAGAAAAGTCGGTCAGAGTTGAACTGAATTGCAAAATCATGGAAGAGAAGTTTGTAAAAACCTCCAGAGATCTGAGATTGGAGCAGAGGTTCTAGTTCCTGGTGTTAGATTCAACTGAGTGTGTAACAAGATGTGGAATTTGATGTTAACAGATCATTTCTCTCCAGTCTTTGTTTAAGCTGTTTTATAAAGAAGGATGCGCCAAGAGGGTTAGTTTCTACATAAGCTATGTCAGTGGAGACATGTCTCCGAACAGTTTTAGCTAAATTTGCTGCAAAATGTTTTCTAAGAAAGGTTGACTCCTCATGGATGAATATTTATCCCCCAAATCCTGTTGAAAACATCTCTCCATCAGCTCCACATGTATACATCAACGTGTTGGTTTCACACATAAAATACCATTAAAACCATTAATGTTTGCTATTATAATGTAATAAGAGTTTCCTCCATGTGCTGTTTGACATGCATCTGATGACATTTACCTGAATCTGCAGCTGAGGCGGCAGACGTAGAAATACTAAACACCTTCGGGTGAGAGGGAGGCTGAGGACACAGTCCTTCCCCGCCTACTCCGCCCCCAAGTAGGGGAGCGGTCTGGGAGAACGAGTAAGACCGCCGCTTGCGAGGGTTTTCCTCATCGTAGAACTCGATCATGAACGCCGTTCGGCTCCCAGCTGTTTTGGACCCACCGACAGTTGTGGTCGCCCCTGCTGCTCCTCCACCCACGAGATTGTGTCCTGTTTTAAGGCGTTCCTCGAGGGCGTGTCTACGGTTGGCGAAACGCAGGCCTAGTCCGTTCTCAGAGTCACTCTGGGTGCCGTCCTCATGTTTGCTCCCTACTGAGACACAAAAGAGACGAGAGGTTTAATTCCACCATCTTATTAATAAAAAAAAAATTTTAAATGACAGAATCTTTATCACAGCAGAAAATTTTTCATCTTTGACAGAAGAGTAGTGGTTGTTTAGATGTTTACTTCATTTCAAGTATCCTGGAAAAAAAAACAAAACAATGACCTCACATTAACTAGGGACACTTTTAGAAACCTTCACAGCCCAAGTCAACAATAAACTTGCCCTGTAGACCGAGGCAAACCCCTCAGCCATCAAGTCAGGTCTACCAGCATCTACTTCACCTACCGCATCACTGCAGCCTCTCATGATGATCTGTCTGAGTTTATTCAGCAGGTCGTTTCTGTGTTGTCCAGTTAAAGGCAGCCTGCCACACTAACCCAGACATACCACCCACACAACTACCCGCCTCGTCTAAGTCAGCCAGTGGAGAGAGGGGGAGGGGAAGAGGGAGAAGGTTAGAGATGAAGGAGGAGGGGAGGTGAAAGGGATAGCAGAGGAGGAGCTGTGCAGTAAGGGAAGTGGTAAAAAACACAACAAACAGACCCTGAAGGAGACTCAGACTTTAACTGAAGTCTACTTAGGTTTTCTGAAAACCAGTGCTGCAGGTTAAATACTCAACACTCAGGGTAAAGGAGACGAATAGGGCTGGAACAACTTTCTACTTTACAAATGATTAACAATCTATACTTTGTTCCAAATTACTAAAGATGACTGCTTTCTGTTTTAAAAAAAAGTTAAACTAACCACTGATACAATCTATCAATAAAAACTAGAGTGAAATGAATAAGTACTAAAATTATTTTAGTAAAATCGTTAAAAGTTAGTGTTAATGTTTTTTTTGTATTGCGATGAATTGGGTTGGAAAATCTTCCACACACTGCCTTCAAATCCATCGATCTGTCAAACATTTTTTACTTTTTTAGCATAAACATTTGATCCTCGCACATCAATTTATAATATATCAGAACTATGAATGTCTGTATGAAATATTTGTGAGGATATTCAAGTCTTCTACATCAATGTCCTAATATATCTGACCAGTTACAAATATTCTCATTGTTCTGAATGACACAAAGTGCAAAGCCAGCGGCAGGAAAACCTTTAATCTGAGGAAGCTGAAGACTTTTCTTCAGGCTGAAAAGTGCACAATTTCAGATCTACCACTAAAACTCCTGCATTTAGCACTGTTAGGACACCTGCATCTGTTAGCGACTCGTCTGCAGCCAGCAACATGGGTAAGGGAGCTGCATCGTCATCTTCATCTGCTCCATGTAAATAAGCCTAGCATTTAAGATGACATTTAATGAAACTGAGTACCAACACAGATTCCGGGGGCCTGGAATCGTTACCATGTAGGTGGAAAGGAAAACGTAACCCTTCTCTATGCATTGCAATAGTTTAAAATCAAGTAATGCATAATCTTAATACGAAAGCAAGGAATTTGAATTTGAACAACCTGCTGACACTGTGTGCCCAAAAGAATATCTGTACAATATGGGCAGACTTTCTCTGTCCTTCAAACACACTGCTGATCTGGAATTTAGTGGCTTAGAGGCCACAGTTAAAAAAGCGGGATCCATAATAACCAGTTTCTTACCTGGGAAGCCAGATTGATAATGTGTCGCACTGTCAGTGTAATTCTACGCATCCTCAATCTGTGCCTAAACTCGTTAAATCTTTTCGGAGAAAGGGAGGAATTTCTAAGCTGAGAGGGTGAAGCGACATCTAGGACCATCTATCAAAGTTTGGTTTTAGAAAATCATGTTAAGAAATGAAAATATCGTAAACATCTGTTTAACCAAACAGATGTCTCAAAGTTTTCTTGAAATTAAGGCTAGATCATTAAATGGTAAAAACGAGACAAAAAAGAGAGAATAATGCCACACAGATCTTGTACGAGAAAGTTGAGCAGCAAAGCAAACAGAGAGGCAGGTCTTTTATTCAGTGAGCTGTGGACAAAGAAGCTCTTAAGGGGGCAGAGGAGAACAGAGGTTTCTGTGAGAGTCCAGTGCATCGTCCCGGTCGCCCCACCATGACTCACGGTGAAGCTAGCCACTGCCTCTGTCAGCCTGCACACACACACACACACATAGAACATGCCAAACAAGGATGTGCATCCTTTTACAAACACTAACAGACAAGCATATATGCAACCCCAGGCATTTAATGTGATATAGTGGGTCTAAAACTGCAATTATAACAACAAAAACAGCTGAATTTTGGCCACTGTGAGACTTTTAAGCATTTCCTATCAAATAAAAATACCTTTATGTAAAGCAATCATAGATAAAGAACCATAAAAATGCTTTTTTAATGGAAGCATGGATTTTCCTCCTAATGTGTATCAAGAGTCATAAAAATGAACCTAAAATAATTACTTTTTGGTATAATAGCAAACACAGCAAAAAAACAAGCACACTGAATGGAGATAAAATACAATAACTCACCTTTAAGGTAAGAAATCAAAGACTTTGACTCAAATTTCAGTTCCCCTTGGTGAAACCCTGCCGCTCTCTCTGTCAGGCACCACTACGACACACCCTGAGTGCATCTCACATGCCTGCGCTCGGCTCGCACATGCTGCACTGCCTTCCTGCAGATCAGTGCTGAGCATTTTTCTGAATGCACGCGAAAGCAGCAGATTTTAACACATTACTTACACAAAGGTAAAAGCGTTCATCATTCCAATTAGTCAGCTAACCCAGCGCTTCACATTCAGAAAGAGGCGCATAGCTAGAATCAGCTCATCAAATCGCATCACCGTTACTATAACAACTTTCAACAGAATACACCACCTCGTCCCCTCCTTTTTTCTGCCGGTACTGCATACCAGATAAAAATCTTCTCTAGCTCTCTCCCTCCTATTTGCCCCCTTTTCTCCTTTACCTGTGCTGATACTGGAGTTAATACTGTTTTAAATTGCTTTTTTCAGCTATGTTCCTCCGATTTTCTCCTCTCACCTCACACATGGCACACCAACAGCAAACGAAAGAAGAAAACCTTCCTTCCAGCTTTCCACTTGCACTCTCTCAGTCTCTTCCCATTGTCTCCCTCCTCTCTCCTTTGCTCCGTCTCCCCTTTCTCCCCCATGCTGCACTTGCATCCTATTCTCAGCTTCCTTTAACATAAACAGCCAGGAGTGAAGACATTGGTCAGTTAATCAGTTAAAACAATACCATCTATCAGCCAAGTGACATACCTGTTAGTGTTTCTCATTCCATCTACTAAATTAGCTTTCCTGCTACGTTAGCAATGTCATTTTCATCAGCTGTATAGAAAGTAGGCTGGAGAAAACCCCGTCTTCAATGACACCTCCAAGGTTTAAAAAGGGCATGAGCCTGGCCTTCTTTGTATGAGAGATCAGCCGTTCTGGTTTGTATCAGTCTTAGGTCAGAAGAGGCTGCTAGCTGGTATAATGTTTAAAGCCAGAGTTTAAATGCTTTAAGTTTTTTCCTAATCAAAGTGTGGAGCAGGAACAGTTGGTGATAACTATTGTTAAGCAATACAGGTTAACAATAATGTGTTTTTTTGTTTTTCTGGGTTTAAATGCTAAGCTAACAGGAGGACTCTGTTCCACTGCAGACTTTAAGCTGATATATGATCTTTGCAACTTTCAACACAATTTTACGCAAGTTCTATTTATATCCCAGATCCACATTTTCCCGGATAAAATGTCCTGGTCTGGGGATTTCAGATTACCCTAGGATTGCTTAGGGGCAGGGTTGAGTGCTGAGCATTGATGATTGGTGATAATACAGCAGAATTTGGGAAAAATTGAGAAAACATAATAAACCACAATAAACTTCTACAATGTTTTAAGGCAATAATTCAACTGTCTAAAACTCGAATATCTGATTAATACTAAAGTTCTATGTTCTGTTTCTTTCTCTTCAAACATATTTTTGTTATTATGAGAATTTGAGTTGGACTATAATTGGACAGTGCATGACCTGAGTACATCGATGTTCCGATTTTTTTTATACACTACCATTCAAAAGTTTGGGGTCACATTGAAATGTTCTTATTTTTGAAAGAAAAGCACTGTACTTTTCAATGAAGATAACTTTAAACTAGTCTTAACTTTAAAGAAATACACTCTATACATTGCTAATGTGGTAAATGACTATTCTAGCTGCAAATGTCTGGTTTTTTGGCGCAATATCTACATAGGTGTATAGAGGCTCATTTCTAGCAACTATTACTCCAGTGTTTTAATGATACAATGTGTTTGCTCATTGGCTCAGAAGGCTAATTGATGATAAGAAAACCCTTGTGCATTCATGTTCACACATCTGAAAACAGTTTAGCTCATTACAGAAGCTACAAAACTGACCTTCTTTTGAGCAGATTGAGTTTCTGGAGCATCACATTTGTGGGGTCAATTAAACGCTCAAAATGGGCAGGAAAAGAGAACTTTCATCTAAAACTCGACAGTCTATTCTTGTTCTTAGAAATGAAGGCTATTCCATGCGAGAAATTGCTAAGAAATTGAAGATTTCCTACAACGGTGTGTACTACTCCCTTCAGAAGATAGCACAAACAAACTCTAACCAGAGTAGAAAAAAAATTGGGAGGCCGCGTTGCACAACTGAGCAAGAAGATAAGTACATTAGAGTCTCTAGTTTGAGAAACAGACGCCTCACAGGTCTCCAACTGGCATCTTCATTAAATAGTACCAGCAAAACACCAGTGTCAACATCTACAGTGAAGAGGCGGCTGCGGGATTCTGGGCTTCAGGGCAGAGTGGCAAAGAAAAAGCCATATCTGAGACTGGCCAATAAAAGAAAAAGATTAAGATGGGCTAAAGAACGCAGACATTGGACAGAGGAAGACTGGAAAAAAAGTGTTGTGGACGGATGAATCCAAGTTTGAAGTGTTTGGATCACAAAGAAGAACGTTTGTGAGACGCAGAACAAATGAAAAGATGCTGGAAGAATGCCTGACGCCATCTGTTAACCATGGTGGAGGTAATGTGATGGTCTGGGGTTGCTTTGGTGCTGGTAAGGTGGGAGATTTGCACAGGGTAAAAGGGATTCTGAATAAGGAAGGCTATCACTCCATTTTGCAATGCCATGCTATACCCAGTCGACAGCGCCTGAATGGAGCCAATTTCATCCTACAACAGGACAATGACCCTAAACACACCTCTATTGATATCAGCCTTCAAAATCCCATATCGGTCAGGTTCTGCTAGGTTGATTTGAAAATAATATCTGCAGAGTTTAAAAGAGGATACATAAAGCACAGAAAATAAGTTGGATTTCCCTAACCTGGGGAAAAAAAAACAATTGCAGGTATTTTAATCCTTCGAAATTCATTGCATTTACTATGCAAATGTTGACTTCAGGGGACATTCTTGTGTTTTTTTCTGTCTGGGAACGCTAATATTTTGACTTCCAAGCACAAAAAAAAGCAACACAATTGTTTCTTAACAATTGGAGACTACATACTGAATAACACATCCAAACTTTTGGTTTTATTTCTTCTCAACAAACCCAGGGATTTTTTGAAGTGTTCAAAAACTGAAGTGTGTCAATTCCCTTAAATGTTATTCAAATTTAAAAGAGTAGGATTAAAATACCCGCAGTCGATCCCAGATAGTAGGCATTCTAATAAGATACTGAAAATAAAATAATTTTAATTGTAATATTATACCAGCATCAACATAAAGCTGACACACTGAAAATAAGAAACTGCAGTCGAGAAATATTCTATATTAAACATTTTGTAGAGGTGTGCTAACCATGATAGGACAACAAGGAAAGCTGACTTGGTGTTATGGAGATTTTACGGATTCCATCAGGGAAATTAAGGATATATACAACATGCCTTTGTTCAGTGATGCAAATAAAAAATGTAATAACACAGCTGTATGAAAGCTTTAATTTAGGAAAGTAATGTAAGAAAATGACAGAAAGCTTTAAAAATACCTTATTCATATCAAATAATAACGACCGTAAGCTTGTTGAGGAAGGTAATTATAAAATAAGCCTTGTGAGTCTTAAAAAAAGGCAATGAAACAACTACCTCCAAAACCAGATCAAGATTATACAAAACATGAATCAGTGCAGCTAAAGAATAAAACCAAATAATAAGTAAATTTATATTCTATACTTCATCCTGTAATAAGCAGACAGATTTGTCACAAAATACTGGGTTCAACAGACTAGCATAAAATAATGCAGCCCTTAGGACACCGGACTAGGGTCAGCACCCATAGACTGAAATGCAAAAAAGGTATGTTGTCTAAAAGCTTCAAACCCCAGCCTTGAATCATGCACTCGGATCAAACAAAGTTCTAGGTTGCATTAATCCAAACAGTGGGTAATGGAAATAACACACACACAGTCAACACAGTGCTGCCAAAGAATAAACCTGAAATCCTTTGAGTTCGCCAATGTGGCACAAACATTTGTCACAAAAACCAGCAGCAAGAACTTACTCATTAGACAATTATTTGCAAGAAATAAACAAAATCAAACATGTTCTTAGAAAAAAACATTACAATTTGAGTTCATCTTATCTGAATTATAAAATAGGAATATTACATTACTGGTATTTAGATGGATTACCCATAATGGACAAAACACAAACGATCATGGTCACTTCAAAAGTGATTTTTGTAAGGCTTTATAAGCATTGAAGGAATCCATTTAGGCTGTGTGCTCAACCTTGGATAAATCCAAACATTGAAGCAAGGCTGTTTCAACTATTTAGCAACATTTAAATAATAAACAGCAGATAGGTCCCAAAGCGTCAATATTAGAGAATAAACAACGTTTTCTTCAAGCAAACAGAAATCAGATGTACAAGAGATGGAGTTTTACCTTTGAGCTTTTTAAGGTGGACCGGGACATCGCTCTTGATGCTCTTGGTGCTCTTGCCGTCATCCTCTGTTGATTCACTGCGCACCAGAGTTGGGTCATTATGAGCCAGCCAATCAGCTACTTTGCTTTCAGAAGCCATCATGGCGGCCTGCAGCGTGGTGAGGTCTTTGCTCCCCCCTCCGCTCTTCTTGGTGCGGGATCTCTGGTGGTCCGACGTGAACTTGGACACATGGTCTTTAATGGTGACTTTCCCCGGAGAGGTGCTGTCAAACTCTATGGTGAAGGAGGCGTGACCTTGAGCTGTGGAGCAGATGGTGCACTTTTAGTTTTATGTCCTGTCAACAGTAAAAGTAAGGCTGCCAACTCCAGCACTTTTAAAACGTTGATGTGCAATATAACTGTTTTGTTGTTGTGAAGTTTTTTCCTTAAAGCTGTCTTTGCAATAAAATAAAATCAAATACTGTGGTGATGTCACTAATTTATCTTCATTAATACTGCAAATATTATAATTACTATAACTAATATAAGTATAATAATAACTTTTTAATCGTGAATAAAATAAATCTATTTCACCTGCTGCGCTTTGGCCTTGAGAAGTCACATCCTCCGTGTCCTTAGTGGGAATTTCATGGATGCCATTATTTGCCATGTGACCTTCCTTTGTAGGGACCTCAAAGTAACTGGAATCCAGAGCAGGAGATGCATGAAGGCCGTCCTCTTTAGCTCTCTCTCCTCTGCGGGTTTCTTTACTTTCTGAGATTAGAAAAAAAGGAAAATATTGGATTATGACAGACATATATTTAAAACACATAAAGCAGTGTCAAACACAAGCACAGGACCTTATTCTGAAAAGTAATATAACATGAAGGGAGTAGAGGTGGGAAGGTCACGTCAGACTGCATATGGACTGATCAAATCAGGGTTTGTGTCTGTCACTCAAAGCTTTCAGTGTTGGTGAGACTCTACACCTGCTTTGCTTCTTGACAATGGGGGACATTTATTTTCTGTTCTGTCTAACAAACTGATCCTCTGATGGGTCTAATTATGATTAATGACACATTGACACAGGAATCAAAGGGGCCATCTGCTTCAGAAAACACCAGAACATATGGCAGTTAACAAATAGAGACAAGAAATTAAAGGCTTTATGTGGAGCTTGATCATTTTCCTGTGCAATTCATTACAAATTACACAAGTTTTGATCAAATTACTGGAATTCTAAATGATCAGTGAGAAAAAACAGGATCAATTAAAAAGATATGAACAAAACCAAAACCTTTCTGACTTTTAGTGGTAATTTTGTGGACATCAGCATCAACAAGTGGCGGAAACTTAAACATGACAGACTGTAAAGATATAAATCTACAATAAAATATGGACTTTTGTTTCCAATTATTATAGATATGGGATGTTCATGATAAAAAATATACTGTATTTTGTTAAATAAAGAAGACAACTCAGATTATATGAGAACTGAGAAATGTGCAGGTGAACAGAATCAGACCAATAATGCTTAAATAGCACAAGCAGTCATAAGGAGGTTAAAAACCCTCAACAATCCTTTATTTCTCTGATCTGTAAAATAATTATATTTAAGCACCAAGACAAACCACAACCATCTGATATTTCGGTTAGATTTTCAGTATCAGTAAGGTGTTCAGAAATCAGGTCAGAAGCTTACAGAGTACAAACTATATTCTATATGGAGCTGCTATCTATTCAGGATACTGCTGTTCGATGGTTGCTTGCTTTTTTGCTTGACCGGCACCTCATATCCAATTTTGCGACCTTTTGTTAAACTGCTGGAGCAAACTGAACCTCAAATGATTTCAGAAATTAAAAAGAAAAACAAAGAAAACATTATTATAGTGAGGTTGTTATGCTTTATCCTTTTGAATTTCAACATGGATGCTGGATTTGACAGGCATTATCAAATCTCAGATAACGTATTTCTACTCTAGTGAATTAAAACTGACCTCAATAAATAAAGCTACTTACAAATAGAAAATATATAAACACCATTGAATGTCAACAAAGTCATTTGATTTAGATTACTAAAAAGCTTTTTACATACAACCTGTATTTTAAATACTATAGCCCGCCACAAAGTGTTACGATGCTGTGTTCACACCAAAATCAAAGAAATCTAGAAGCTGGGTCAGATGCTGGATCTGCGGAAAAGTTGCTTTGATACTTCAGCTATTATTTCATAAAATGGAAAAATGGAGAACAGATAAGCAAATCATGGCTTGTCTACAGTGAAAAGAAGTACTGTGTTATTTACTTTTGTTGTTGCCTTTTTTGGAAACACAGGAAGAATAAAAAAAAATCATTAATTCCAGCGAGTTTACAAGCAAAGTCAATGGTTGACGCGCGTATAGGCGCAGCAAAAGCTCCCGCAGCGCGTTTTGAGCAGCAGGCGCAGCGCATCGGGAGCGTTTAAGCACCTGACGCACCGCCAACGCGCTGCTGCTGCTCGAGATGGAAAAATTGAAGTTTTGCTGCTGGAAGCGCCGCATCAACCAATCAGAGAAGCTGATCTGGGAGCTGACAGCGAGACAGACACATCGCTCTGATGACACATGATATTAAGGCAAATGAAAAGGGCTGGATGGATGAGGAGATGGTGAAAGAGTGGCTGAGGGAGGTGTATGTGAGGAGACCAGGTGTTTTTTTCCACGCATCACCATGGCTGTTAATCTGTGACTCCATGCGTGCCCATCTCACAGCCGATGTGAAAAACATGGTGAAACAAATAAACGCTGTGCTCGCCGTTATCCCGGGAGGTCTGACAAAGAAACTTCAACCGCTCAACATCTGTATGAAGCGGCCGTTCAAAGTAAGGCTGCGCGCGGCGTGGCAGCGATGGATGACAGACAGAGACCACAGTTTCATGAAAAGTGGAAGGCAGCGCCGGGCAAGTTACGCCACCGTTTGCGGATGGATTGTTGATGCTTGGACTAACGTGTCTGCTGGCACTGTTGTTCGAACTTTTGCAAAAGCCGGCATTATTTCTGAGGAGCCGCCCGGCACGGAAAGTGACTCTGACAGCGAAGAAGGGGAAATTGGCATGTCTGATTTAGCGCAGCTGTTTAATTCAGAAACAGAGGATGATGACTTTGATGGGTTTAATTAATACTTTGTAATAAATACATGAATAAAGCACAATCATACTCAGTTTTGCTCCCGCTCTATTTTTCTACCTGAAAACTTACAGCAGCCTCTGGGCCGGGTCTCCTCCTCTTCAGCGCGGCGGCTGGCAGGTGTTTTTTCATCTAAATAATCTAAATCTTGCAGCTAAATTTGCTGTGAACAGTGGGAATAAAGTAGTTTTAATATGTTTTAAGTGATAAAGTCCACCTGAAAACTTCATAATTGCAGTCAGTTCATCCAGATTATCTATTTCTGTCGGAGGCGCTCAGACCCCCACATACCAGCGGTGCGCCGACAGTAGAAATCCCTTCAACAGCAGCCTCTAGGCTGGGCAGCCTCCAGGGTCACCGCGGTGGCTGGCAGGTGTTTTTCATCTAAATAATTTAAACTGCAGGCACCAGGATACCGGTAATAAAAGCGAACATATTCCGTCGGCAGGTTTCACGATTTTAAGTTAATTTAGGAGCGATCACAGCGCTGTGTCATCTGCAATGTGTCTGTCTCACGGCCAGCTCCCAGGTTTGATTAATACTTTGTAATAAATACATGAATAAAGCACAGTCTTACTAAGTTTTGCTCCCGCTTTATTTTTAAATACGCAGTAGAGGTAATTTAAACGTGGTAGAGGACATGTACCTGTATATAAAAAACGCGCCCTATAGTCCGGTGCGCCTTATGTGTGTGTTAAATACAGAAATGGCACACATAACTGAGACTGCGCCTTTTAGTACGGTGCGCCTTATGGTCGTGAAAATACGGTATGTCTATTCTATTAACATTTCTGTATCTGTATAATGGGTCTGTTTTATGTGTTGTCTTCTCAATTCAGAGGGCCCCCTGCCTGTCTTTGCTTAGGGCCCCAAACTTCCTACATCTGCACCTGATTCAGGAATCAGGATCCTTGATCTTGCTTGGAGTGCCAGACCTCCAGCACACTACTGGATGCAGCGCTGGAAATCCCAGCTGAAAGCTCTCTGCTGCCACCAGCCTGTGGGGGATTTCCTGCAGCCATTAATAGCAGCAGGAAGTAAATATAATGTTTAAATCACCTGTTCCTGCTTCTATTTAAGTTACTTGCTCCCAGTCGTCAGTGACAGATTATTCTCGGGCCCTTGGTGAGAGTTTTTTTTAGCATTAATTGTTGTGTTGCCTGATCCTGACCTGTATCTGTCTTAAGACCTCTGAGACTGCCTGCCCTGGTTCTCATCTGTTTGCCTGACCTGTCTTCGGATTCTGTTAGATTCCACTGTGGACTGAACCTGGATCTGCCTCTTGACTTTGCCCTCTGGGTTATCCTGCCTTCCTTGGTCATCTGCTCGGATCTGATCTCTTGTCAGTTCTGTGTCCTTCAAGGCTTCGGTGTCTGGAACTCTCTTTTGCGGCACACACTGCGTCTTGTCAGCTGACCAGCTGGTATGAACCTCATTCTCTGGGCACGGAATGAAATCTAAACCAGGTTAGTGACTCACACGTTCAGATCATCCTCTACCAGCTTTTCTTCGTTAATAACTTGTGTGTCCTTTCGCTAGAGTTACCTGCCTCGGATGCCCTGGCCGCTGCAGATCCGCACACATCGTTGCTTAAATAAACAATTTATTATATTTTAAGTTATCCAACTGTCTGTCTTGCCTCAATACTGGGCCCTTCTGTTCTGAGTCATTACTCAGCATGTAGTGTCTATCTCCCCCAAAATAAGCTTTTTCCCCACGCTCGAACGTGCCGTTGATCTACTGACACTTTGCCCCATAGTCTTGCATGTAAATCAGATGCTTTGATGCAGAACAAGCAACCAGTCTGAATGCAGCTTAGGGAGCTCTGAACAGAAGCACACTAGAGTGTGATTCCTTTTAAATGTAAACTGTAGAATATACAGAAATGATTTAATTGTATTTTGTCCCCTGTGGTATGTTTTGAGAGGTTCTCACAGTTAAAACTGCAACATCAGTAAAGGCTGTCAGCTTTTCAGAACCTCTTTAAAAAAGAAGGCAAAAACAAGTACCTGTGTGCTGACTTTTATTTTAGTCGAGTGATGTGAAAACTTCCCCAGCATTGTTTCAGGGCCCAGTCATGAAGGAACACACTCCATATTGGACTCTTCTAATACCTCCCTCCAGAATGTCAAACATGTAAGGGTCTCATATATACCGTTTTTATTTTATATTCTCCTAGCAATCCTTTTCTAGGATTAATAGCAAACATTTTGAAAGTAACCGTCATTATAAGTACTTTGCATGGTGTGAGTGGAAGTCATCTTAATATCTTAATTTAAATTTTCCTTCATTTTAAAATGTTAATTTGCTACTTACAAAAATAAATCTTAATCAACAAAACAATTTTTGACAAAACAGTTAAAAATCAAAAAGTTCCCATTTGTCTGGTTGGTGCATCACCAAATGATCTCATAACTGATAAAAAAAATTTTTTTTACCAATTAGGATTTTTAGACACAATTAAGCCAATTTAGATGAGTAAGCAGATATATCTACTCTCTCCACTTAGACCTTTGAGGAACACAAAACAAGGGTTTAAATTTTAAACACAATTAGTTCCTTCTTTGAAATTAGAATAAAGATCGATCTTTTTACATTAAATGCAAGGAGTGTCCTCGTGTTCGAGCACCACCATTAACCACTAATCCTTTCTTGGATTCACCTCCAATAATGAATAGGGAGTAGATAAAATGAAAACTTTATCAGAATTTTCCTATTATATCAATGCCAGAAAAAAAAACATTACCTTCCACGAATATGAGTTTTATGCAGTCTATTTCTGTTATTTTCAGCAACATACCAGAAGTATTGTAACAATGCTAAATAAATAAATAATGCTATCTGGGTTAATCTCATTGTAAATGCCAAATATCTTCCAACAGTATAATAACCAGCAGTACTTTATGTCAGAGTCACACTGGAAAAACGGAAAGCATTTTAACAGCTGGATGGATTTGAGAGTAAGCTTACCAGAGGATTAGCCGATGATTTCTGCGGGGTAAAGAGCAGTCTGTGTAGAAGGCGTTTGGGTGTGTGTTAGGAGAGGAAAATAGAGCTGGTGCTATGGTGTAACCCAATCCAGTTTATGGACAATACATAAGGGGATAGGGAGTGGTGACAGGAGAACCTTTTTTTTCAACTCAGAAAGAGAAACATACAGTAAACATAACTGACGTAGACATGCTAGAAACAAAACGCACACTGAGAGAGAATCATTTCCTGTCCGAAACCTGCCTCACTTCCCCTTCCCTCCTACATCTGATGTGAAAAGTTTAGGTTATTTTTGAATCATTTATGTTAGATAAGATCTCCTTTTTAACACTTAAGTTTGAGCCAAATAAACTCCAGCTCTTCATACAGAACCAATCCAACATCGCATCATAAACACAGATGGTATTTTTCTTAACAAATCTCCACTCACCCACTTCCACGACTGAAGTAGCCAGACCCATAACCGAGAATATTTGGGAAGTTTTCAAGGTTTCAAATCATTTCTATGTTCGAACACAGATTAACCTCCAAACCGACATGAAAAACCGTGAAAATCAACAAATAAGGCCCCAACTAGCTGTAAACAAAGTAGTCTCTTTCAGCGCAGTCAAGAAGATGGCAGACTCACCCTGCAGATGTGCAGAGATTTGAGGACTCTTCAGTCTGCTCTCGTGTTTTTGTTATGATTTCATCCCCCCCCACTCCTTCTGACCTCACTGGTCCACTAACCCTGCCTGGCACAGACTGATTTTGCTTCAGCTGGTGTAGCCTGCATGTATGTTGACGTGTAGAATGTAGAAATGCTCTGAACAAAAGCTTTGTTTTCCCTTGGATGCAAATACTAAAAAGTAAGCAAAGTCTGGCTGGTCATGGCTGTCTGACCACAGTAATGGAAATCTATCTGATCTCAACACGAAGAAGCAATCATTTCATTCATTTAAAGTTATTCAAATAAATACTTTTATTTTCTAGCAAATTGTGTTGTTTTGTAGTTGTTTTCAACCTACATCAGACAGAGAAACACTCGTAAAACTCGATAAACACTTTAGATCAATCATTTTTAGTGTTACTTGTAAGCCAATTCTCAATAGGCTCAGCTGTCACTTACATTTGGCATCAGCATGTTGGACGGTTTAGTTCATGGAAGTGAAACACATCTGAAAACATCTTTTCCTCATTTCAATATTCTGGATTTTATTTTTGATTACAAAACATGAAAAGGTTAGGTTGTGATATGATTAGCTTCCTATCCAGCAGTGTGTAATTAGTGCTGGTTTATTTATATTGTGATATTTTTATTCTGTATTTAAAATAATGAATGAAAAACTCAGGGTTTTTCACCCTTTTGAGGGTCGTTAATAGAAACTAATAGACTGTATTGGCTGCTGGGGAACCTGGTAAGTCTCAGGTCTTGATGTTGCAATAGCCATGTAGGAGCAGCATGTTTGGGCTAATCTAAAAGAACTCTTGTCAGGATAAATAACAGTCACTTTGGACAAATGGGAAGAAGAGACTGCAGTATCTGTAAGATCATCAGTGAGTGATTTAAGAGGGACACAGTCGCAAGACAATACAGTATTATATCTTACTGCAGATGTCATTGATTTTAATGTGTGATAAAATGTTATTTTAAAGTACTGGGTGAAAGACTGCATTTTCATATTACTATTTCTAAAACACTTGACATCTTAAAATCCATTTGTAAAATATTTGAAAAGAAAGATCCTTTAAAATAATCTGATCATCTTAAATCGCATAAATTTGAAGAACGATCTACCTGACATGGAGCCGTCATGTTTTTTGGATGAGGACGACTTTGTTTCCTGTTTGAAGGAATTCTCATCATCTGCGTCTCCGTCCCCCCACCATGAGGGCTGGCCGTACAGCGGCGTCCCACGGGGCAGAGCTGTAATGTCCCCTGGGATGAAGACACAAACATATCAGCAAAACTTTGCAGATGGTGTGAAATTAAAAGATGTTTTTTTATAGACATTTTTCAAACTATGCCACCATAAAATCAACCAGACTAATGTTTTTATGAATAAAAACCCTCCTTCCCCCATCCTCTGTAAATAAGTGTAAATAAGAGCAGGACATTAGACTAGTGACTTTTCCTTCAGATTGTAAGCTGAGATGGGACATTAACACATGCAAGCACCCAAATGACAGCACACGGTGCCACAGGTCGAATCAGTACCCCTTACTTTCTTTCTTTAGTCTTCAGTTATTTTAAGTACCCTGTTATCTCCAGTCGGTGTGACTTAAATCACAGTTGTAAACCTAATAACAGACCTTGCTTTATAAATTACACATAATGAGGACCACTCTGTGTGAAAGCTACAGAATGTGTATCATATGGAGCTATATATGTGTGGCTTCCAGTGAAATTACACATTTGCCTGGCAGGCAGGGAAACACATAGAAATGTGTAATACTACATGTTTAGGTCTTAAGAGAGACAGAGATGAGGTATGGCTTTACTTGATGACATTTCTCTGATTAATCTGTAATAAAACCCGACAAGCTGCAACCATTTGTAAATTAATACAAATCTGAGGTCAGAGAGTCTGACTGCATGTTGTAGAGGGGGCAGGTCCACCCCCTGCTGGACTAACATGAAAATCATTTTCATTGTGTCCCCAACCCCAAGTTGGATGAACCTAAATAAACTCATTCCCACTTCCTTCTGTAGCTCACCTCCTATCCTCTCCTCTGCTTTGTGAGAGTCCACTGGTTTAGCTGAGTGTTCTCTGGAGGAGGCGAGCCCATCTGTTGCTCTGCTCTCTGGAGACTTCGAGTTGCTGCTGCTAGGTGACTTTGGCGTTTTTATTGCAGTCTTTGAAGGAGAATTGCTTGTGGTTGTGTTGGCAGTGGTTTCACCGTTGGAAGGCTTCTTGCTGAGCTGGAGGCCGCTGGTGAACTTTTCATGCTGAATGGAAAATAAATGTCAGTAAATGTGATCTATGAAAATAATTAAAGGGGGAATGTTTGGGGTTCTTACTTTTAGAGCCTCTTCAGGCACGGTGAGCTCTCCTCTCACCACAGTGAACAGATTGGTATGTAAGACAAGATGTTAAGGAAACACTGGCCGAGCCAACATAGCCATGAGATTATTGTTATTTAGATGAACAGATTTCATTAAATATTATTCTGAGTGGTAAAAGATTACAAATTCTGCAGTTGCACAAAGGAAAACATCTTTCAAAGCTTTATGTATTTAAATCATTCAGTTAAAACTGTGGAAATAATACACTATAAAGATTTACCAAACTCAGTTTTAAACCCAAACAAAGGATATCATATCCAAACCTCAGCTTGTCCTCCAACTTTAGAGTGATATACATCTGCTCCTGAATGCGGACATCGTTTACAAAGGTCTGGAGAGGAACAAAACAAAACAAAAAAGAGCAATGAATATAAGATTTGTGGACATAAACGGAAACTTTGCGCTACTTTTTTAATAATAATGATTAGTTCATTTAGACCGTCCTAAAATATTTAAAAATATTATTTCATCTTAAACGAGTTTTTTTTTAAAGGTGAAATGATAGGAGGAAACTTGAGTTGAAAGACTTGGCTCATTTTTTTCTCTTTTAACCTCTTTGTTCTACAGTAGGCTGGAAGTTCATGTATTCAACAAATAAAACTTGCTTTCAATAATATCTATTTATTCCTCTAGTGAAATAGAGTCACAGCTTAAGAATCTAGCAGTGAATGGGTTTCAGAAGGACAGCGATTGGTTTTACTGGCTAACCCGTGTGTGGCAAACCTCAGCACACCCACTGACTCAGCAGGGAAAACTTCCCGTGGATGAAGCCAAAAGAGCTGGATGGCTAACAACACAGGAGGAAGTGACTCTGGCTTCCTGTCTGAGAGCTGGGGAGGATGTGAGGGACACGGAACACATGTGGCTCATCTAGTGGGCTCTAACTGAGCACTAATCACAACTCATGACTAACGGCGATGAGTATGTTTAAAAGGGCGGCTGTAACCAACTTTGACCTAACTTTACTGTGCAGAAAGAAGCCCTTAAGATTTTAAATGAACGTATTCTAGGTATATTTAGAAGTCCTGATCAAGATGTGAAAAATGAAAATGTTCTAAAATAAAATTTCTATTTTAGAGCAGCATAATCACACCCTGAAACATAATTGGAAAGTTTCATTGGTGGAAAATAAATGTGGCATCAAATCAGCTTCTATCAAAGGAAGTTTACCCCAAACATTTTTATTTATACACTGAATGGAGTGTCCAGTACATTGTAATAATTAATCCCAGAGTTCCTCATTCGCTGAGTTATGATGGCAGTTTCTATTTCTCTTTCTTTTCAAACTGGGAAATACAACTAAAAAAATGTCAGTCAAGTATGTTTGTTGACCCTGGTGTTAATAAAATGGAAACCGAATATAGCTGGTTCTCTAAACTGGACCATAACTTCAACAATACTGTTAAAAAGGAGTGGAAAATCTAAAAGGATGAACCAGATTCATATTACATTTTAGGCTTTTTAGACGTTTACAACCTTCTTTTCTAACAATTTCTTCTTTTGAGACTCTTGAAAGTCAAAAATCTCTTCAAGGGTTTTCCTGTTTAAAGCGAAAGTATGCTTTAATTGGTCAGCTGAGATGGGATCCTCTTCTCATGAGGCACCTTATTTTGCAAAAGAATTACAATTACATCTTTATCTAAATGATTAAACTTACTACGTACTCTGTTTAGCTTACTGTTGATTCTCTTGATGAAAGTGGTTCTATAACAGCTGTATGTATTGCAAATTTGTTATCTGTCTTCATTTTTATAGAAATCTTTTTTTTTTATGACACTGACTAACAATCTTTGGCAGATCTTTCTAGAGACAAGGCTTCTGCAATAACCAAAAACTGAATGGGAAAAGCACATAGAAAAAAAAGGAAGCACAAAAAACATGATTAAAGATGAAAAGAAGAGTGAATAAAGCATGCAAAAAAGGCAGACATAACTCAGGCAAGAATGAATATAACAAGAAAGGTATTAAGAAAGGGGAAAAAAGGATAGCAGTAAGGGTAGATGGAAGCACACAAGCAAGGAATTGTGATAGGGCAAAAGCGAAAAAGAGGTAGAGAAATGAAGAAAAGACAAGGACAGAGAGAGGTCAGGAACCATGAAAAAGTGAAGGACATGATGGAAGAAAGAAGAAAGGAGAAACACAAATACGATATAACTGAAAGACAGGACAGAAAGGAAGGATGAAAAACGAAAGGATACAAGGAAGGATAAAAAAAATAAAGGATACAAGGAAGGATAAAAAAAATAAAGGATACAAGGAAGGATGAAAACATAAAGGATACAAGGAAGGAAGGATGAAAAACGAAAGGATGCAAGGAAGGAAGCATGAAAAACAAAAGGATGCAAGGAAGGAAGCATGAAAAACAAAAGGATGCAAGGAAGGAAGCATGAAAGACAGACAGACAGACAGACAGACAGACAGACAGACAGACAGACAGACAGATAGATAGATAGATAGATAGATAGATAGATATATAGGTTTTCACTCACCCCGTTCAGGCTTCCCAAGTCCTTCACCTTGTGTTCATCTGTCCCCGTCTCATAGTTGATGACTGCATGCTGCTTGTCGACGCTACGAGACTTTAAACAAGAAAATAAACAGACATGGGAAATGATCAGCCCCATGTCCACAGTCAGAAACGCTAATATGACCATGGATATATCTAAAGATTTTTTTTTTTTACATAAAACATCCAATGAACTCTAAAATTGTGGCACCAATAGATAAAAATCCAATGACAGTTGTTCTTCCAGAAAAAATATGCTTGCCGTAACGTTGGTTTTGGAATCTAACCTTAAAGTTATTCTATTATCATCACCTTCACGTTTGGTCACATTTTTACCATCATATCATTCACTAAACTTCCAATGAAAATAGCTGAGCTCAAAAGTGAAGGTGAAAATAGATTTTCACACAGCTGACAGACGCCTGCCTACAACACTGTGGCCTTCTGTATTTATGAGCCTCTGGTAAAAGAATCTATTGGAGTTCAGCAGACGTGTGTCTCGTGTATCAAAGCCACTGAAATAAAAATAAAAAATTCTTACAAGTCTGCATGGAGTTATGTCAACATCTTACTTGAAGGTGAGTCAAAGTCAATTCTGGGGACTGATTCTGATTCTTTATTTCACATTTTTCTGTTTCCCTCAACTAAATTCCTTCCCCAGTCAAGTTAAAAGTAAATCATAATAATACAGCTGAAGCAAAGGAAGCAGCTCTAAGAAAAAAACACTGAAATAGATAACTTTAGATCAACCGTAACACAACCCAGGCCCAGCAGCCTGTTTTATCTCATATTGCTGACAGAAAAAATGTAGAGGACACATGTGGAGATGGGAAAAAAAATCAACCAAAGACAGAAAATGCTTTGAAGCATACTCCCAGATAAACAAAATGAAAGCAAACTTAGACTGAAATATACATATTTTTGACAAGCTAGACTATAAAAGAAAGAATAATTTAGGCACCTCGGGTTAACAGGCAGCTATGGACACAATTTGGAGACAGGAACAGAGCAGCAATAAGCAGATACAAGGTCTGATTTAAAAGCACTTTAGCTTTATGTTGAAGTAACTACTTTTTTGTGCCCGATTTCAATTAGTTTTAAGTCATTTTTAGAGGTTACTAGTTTTTATTAGTAACTATAATTTCACTAAGGCTTTGTTTTAGTTTAGCTTTTGTTTCCTATAGACTGTTAATCTTTGAGTGCAATAGTTCAAAAGGTCAGAGCTGTGTAATAAAGCCCCAATTTAAGGAGCTATTCCTAAAATGTGGTTCAATTATACCCCACGTAAACCAAGTCATGACAATCGGTTTGCCAGGCGTATCGAAATAGAAGGGAATATATTTAGAATCTTTGTTTAAATTAAAATAAAGTTGAAAAAAATATCTTCATTTCACTTTTTGTTTTTGATGAGTTTTAGTCAACATTAATTACCCCATAAGCAAGCAGCTAGCACATGGAGAATGGGCTCCGTCTAGCCAACCCAAGGAGGATTTAGCTCATGCTGGATTGGGACAAACTGGGCCTGGTCCTTCATTCAGCCCCTCCTATGGTACCCACTAGATTATGACCCGGATTGGTGAGCCAGACGGTCTCATCTGGGTCTTAAATTAGAGATAATTTGTTTGAATTCAACAAAACATCTAGAACCCATATGGATTTTTTCCTAGGATGGTGAAGAAGATGTGACCATTATGTAACCCACAGATGCTCCCATTAGGAACCCTTTATTCAGGCCATTCCTTAACCATATGGGCTCCATCTGTCAACATCAACTGGGCAAAGGACATCCAAAGAAAGAAACCTTTTCATTGGCCGTGGTTGTGTTGTTCAATGATGGTTTAATAATTGTGTGTTCCACTTTCAAATTTGGAGAAGTAGGTACCCTACAGGGTTTCAGTGTTGTCCAACGTCTCCAAGAAGCTCCTTACATCTTAAAGGAATAGTACACCCAAAACATGATTAGCCTTCATTTTCTACTCACCCCCATGCTGAACAACACTCTGGAGTACTTTTTTGATATCTCAAATGCATCTGGAGATCTGGGAGGCTTCTTGCTGTCTGCTGACATTCAAATAATGGAGGTCTATGGCGCCCGAGGCAGAAAGGTCCATAAAAGTCCACAAAAAACGTGTCAATATTCCTCCATACTGGTCGTCCAATGAATTCCAAGTGTCCTGAGTGGGTAGCGTCCATAATTTACTTGAAATGAAGTCATTTAGAATGTTTTTAGAGCATAAACAGTAGTGTATAGGATTTCCTAAAAGCGCGTTCACGAGTCTACGCGGCAGACCAAACCAGACGAAAGTGCGCATTCAGCTCGGCAAAGAACTCATGCTCTTCCTCAACACTGAAGTCCTCAGACATTTTTCTTTCGTTGTTTCTTTCTTTGCACAGGTAAACAGCACATTTCTTCTTCTACGCTTGCATTATCGGCAGAGCAGACGCTGAATGCGCACTTTCATCTGGTTTGGTCTGCCGCGGTTTCCGTAGACTCGTGAACGCGCTTTTAGGAAATCCTATACACTACTGTTTATGCTCTAAAAACATTCTAAATGACTTCATTTCGAGTAAATTATGGACGCTATCCACTCAGGACACTTGGAATACATTGGACGAGCAGTATGGAGGAATATTGACACGTTTTTTGTGGACTTTTATGGACCTTTCTGCCTCGGGCGCCATAGACCTCCATTATTTGAATGTCAGCAGACAGCAAGAAGCCTCCCAGATCTCCAGATGCATTTGAGATATCAGAAAAGTACTCCAGAGTGTTGTTCAGCATGGGGGTGAGTAGAAAATGAAGGCTAATCATGTTTTGGGTGTACTATTCCTTTAAGACCTTCAGTCACTGTTCTGACAGGCTGTCAAGTGGTCAAAGAGCTGCCTGACAATGGCTGTACACCCAGTGATGCCGTCAGCTGCTTATGCCAATGTTATTCTCTTATATATTGTGATATTGTGTTTGTCGGTGGGTGCTTTTGTGTTTTATTTGGTGCACACAGGAGCCTTTTTATGTTTAGCCATGTGATAAAGCCCCGGCTTACTGAAAGGATCACATGGGTAAGAACTGGGAGCTGCTTTAAAAACACACAAAAGGCTAAATTAATGTTTTATATTATAAAATCCCATTGAGTGATGAGTAAACCAGGCTGAAACATACCAGAGAAAAAATTCATAAACAAGAAAAGGAATGAAAAAAAGTTTAAATCATCCCAGGAAGAGATAAATAAAAACATGAACTACACTTCAAACCACAACTAAAGAAGTAGAAACAAAAACAGGATAATTCTTAAATCTTAGGCGTATGAAATTAAACGTTTTGCTGATAATCAGGCATTTTATACAGACAGTGGGACCAGTAAAAACTCCTGTGCAATAATAATGTCCCTGCAGTTGTAAACACTCTATCCTGAACGAATGACTCAGTCAGATAGGATCTAACTCAAGAGGTATCTGCCCCACTTTCTATTATTAGTGCAATGACCAGAGGTACACATGAGTATGCACGTGGTCTCTGTGGATGTATGCACATAACTCACACAGATACACATGAAGAAGCAGACTACTTCAACTTCAACAAAAGCACAGGCCAGAACTGTTGAAGTCACTAATCGACTTAAGTTGTAGAAAAGATATGCCTGTTTTCTGTGTATGGAAAGCAGGACGGCTAAAGTAAAAAAAATAGAAAAATTACATTAACAAAAGCAGAATCTCTGGTGCTTTATGTCTCATGAAGCATTCTCACCTGCAGCATGAGCTCGCAGTCATCCCTTCCCACGAAGATCATTTCCCGGGGGAGTCGATGACGAGTTCCCCCACTGCTCACCAGGAACCAAGAGGTCACGCTCATGTCTGCACCCTGCCCGCTTCCTCTTGTGCAAACCTCTTGAGACAAAATTATAAATGATGAAATGGAGAGTTTTAATCTTCTCCTCTGCTTTCAAACTTCTAAATCTTCACAACAACCTTACAATTTCAATATATGTATATTAAACAGACTGCTAATTTTTGTTTTTGGACTTATGAGGAAGAACTGAGTTTAATATAGAAAAGTCAAGAAATGAGGGGGGGGGAAATCCAACATATAACAATATCACTAAAGTTGATAATGTCTAATATAGATACAAACTAGTAATTTGGATGGTATTGTTACTTTTCCTCTTATTTCATATTATTATCTCAATAAGAAAATAAATACTTACTGGACAAAATAGCAAAATACAAGAACAGAAAAGAATACTGTATGATCACCTTGATAAAAAAAAACGCAAATTTCACGGCATTTAAAAAAAATTCTATAGACAAATGTAGAATATAAACTGAAAGCTTTCACTTAATAATACTATAACTTAATAATAAAATAGGTAACATTTAAATTAACGGCTGTAAATAAGAAAGCGTATCCAGCTGACTGGCACTGTGCAGAAACCGGTTAGGGAAGGTCAGAGTTGTAAACACAGCCAGGTCAGGTCAACATTCTGTATTACATCTCAATTGTATACATAAAATTCCCGTTAGTTATATTGGCTATCTCACATGTATATAAATATGACACAAATAATGATGATATTTTTCTTAGATATTTTATTTAATAATCTTACTATATTATATGTTGTTATACATTAAACACAATATCTCATAATAACAAATTGTTTTATTAAGACATCATAATTAGTATATAATAAGCTTTTCTAACTATTTGATTAATATATTAAATTATGTACAATATAAACAACATATAATTATAATGTCCTAAAATATATTTCATTTTACACTTATCAAATTTATATTATTATTAGATTTATAAGATTCACATAATAAACTTTAGTATACTTTGGTGACCAGGACATTGTTAATTCCCACTAATACTCTGTGCTGTTTAGAAGTACAGTTGTAGTGATCTAGGAAAAATGGTTGTGTGATATTTTAGTAGGTTTAATTCTTATAGCAATATATATATAGCAAGATATTTTTTTTTTAGATGTAAATTGAAGAATATATGTTTTATTTCCATTTTAGTACCAACCTCTGGTCCAGGGGAAAGACCACAGCTGATCACTGACCACTAGCAGGACAACGAAGCTAGGCCATCCTGAAAAAGATGGAGAAAGAAAAGAAATTTTAAAAAGAATGTTCCAAGAGGCCTGAAAATGTTTGCCACCTTTTGCTTCATATAGAAAACAATCCAATCCAAACTATATTAGTTGGTTGCTGGAAGAAGGTTTAGTAGGAGGTGTAATAAAACACTTTCTCTGTACAGTCATATGAGCGTTAGGCAAACCAGTAAGGTAGAGCCTTCCTTTTTTATTGCCCGCTCTGATGAATGCCAGATGTCCAAGGAGGAAGTGATGTAGGAATGTTAGCAGCACGTTTATTTTCCCTCCTCCTCATCAGACGAGCTGGAAAGGAGGTCAGAGCCAGCCCGGTGTGTGCCTAACTGTTCAGGCCTGAAACGACTCCAGTAAACAGAACAAACTCAGGCCGAAGTGTCATCTACTGTTTACAAACTAACCTGAGGCGCGGCTTAGTCTAACGGTTGCCGTCTGATTGACTAATCGGGCAGAAATGACAGCAGCACTGGCAACCTGTCACAACTGAATTTTCCAACTGTCATGAAAATAGCAAGAAAAATACAAGAGGGTCGTAGAAAACTTCTTGCATTTGATTAAAACTTAATGTTAAACTTTTAAGTGGCTTAGACTAAACCTTTCATTTAAATTAACATTTCAATTCTTTTCATGGTCCTCTCTTGTGACACAAAAATAACAGAAGCTCTCTTTCATGAGTATAAAGTGCCAAGAAAAAGCCCATCAGAGGGAGAATTAAAGATTATTGAGCTAAGCTGTTGCTCTCTTGACCTCCTAAGTACTTAGTATACCAACTCAATAATCCCCAGAGTAAAATTATAATCAGCTACACACCTCAACTCCTTGCATGACAAGGGAAAAAAAAAAAAAATGCATCAGTAACTGTCTTTAATGGAAAATGGATTTTAGCCCAGTTACTGCTCAGACAGAATATCCAACAAATGTATTCACCACATGAAAATCTGATGAAAACATCCCAGGAATTTTGTGGGAAATTTGATGCCACTCAACAGAAATGAAGAGAGCCACTGCTCTTTCTTTATACCTTTTGCTACTTGTTTAATCTTTGCATCATTTTATTTTTATTGACTAACCATCTGATAGCAAACGTGCTATATACAAGATTTATTTTAGCCACAGAGTTCACAGCTGTAATTGCAAAGATGCTCGTTTTTATTTTCATAACTAAATGTATACATTTTTCTTAGGTTCTTCTTAACTACCAGTTTTCTCATGTTTTTGAGACTGTGTACTCCAATTAATGATTAGCTCACTACTAAATTAGCCAATTGATCATGTTTCCTTAAGAGTTAAAAAAAATCCTCACAAACTGCAGTTGTTTTGTAACAATATGAGGCAGATAACAAAAGTGGAAGAGGTTTTCCCTGAAACGACTCATTAGGCTCATCAGCTCTGGCACTACACCACAGCTATGTGTGGTTTACCTCCCAACTGTGGGCGAAACATCAGAGAGCTTGCTGACTAAATAACTGCGCCACACTCGCATGGAGAATGCAAAGTTAACAAGACTGCGGTGGAGGAGCTTCAATATGATGCATGGTGGGCTTTTGGTGGCATACAAACAGCTGCTGACAATCAACACGTGAAAGATGTGGAACACATGGAGAAATACAGAGGTTAGTCTGGTGAAGGAAACAAAGCTGTGCAGAAATCTATTCTGCCTATTATTAGTTTATATGACTTAAAAAGCCTTAACCTAAAGTCTTTAATGCAAATAAGAGAAGAAATGTTACTCCAGATTATATATTCATGACCAGATATGTTGGTGCACTGATGTCTTAAAACAATAAGTGGAAAAACAGGCCCACAGCATCACATATCTTTCACCATGCTTGCCAGAAGGATGTCTTTCTTTTCCATAAGTTAATATTTTGATTTACACCAAAACCACCAACAAAAACTGGTCCAACATTGTCCAACTTGAAGTCCTAGCATAGGAGGTCATTAGAGTTTCTTACATTAGACTAGGATCTTGATGCATATCATGTCTGACCAATGCAAAAACATAAAAAAAAAGTCTAGTTCACATCTTCATCAAAAGCTGCTAAGGGCTCTATAGCTGCATAAAGAGAAGCATGTATTTAAAAGTCATTCTTATTACTCTGGCCTTTCTAAAAACATTCTTATTGGGGCTGATGAAGAACAAACAATGACCTCATATTATTGGCAGGGATTTCCCAGCACCCAGAGCAGCACTAGTACTATCTCCCTACACTCAAACGCTCACTGATGAGGAATGAAAGAGCGGGATTATTCCAAGATGACTGAATTCTTTGTGCTAAGGAGATAGCAGCGGAGAGACAGGAAGAATGTAAAACACTTCTCACTGAGGACACTCGTCTTTTTATCCACTCCCTGTGAGCAGAAACTCTTCCAAACTCCAGCTAAACATTTATTTAAATAAAAAAACAGGCATTCACTGGAGTTAGGTCGCTCTTCTAAAACTAAATCAGATGTTGCACATTACATAGAGAAGTTTTAAGTAAAGCAGAGAAGATTAATCCTTTATCAGTGCTGACTAATCGCTCTTACATCTAATCTGTTGTTTAGTGGAAATTATATAAACACCCTTCTTTTTTTTTCTCTATTTTTCAAATATCTTCCCTCCATTCTGAGTGAGCCAATCACAACCCGAGCTAAAAAACAGGAAGTGATGTCCCTATTTACGGCGATCCAGTAAGCTGTGCGTTTCTGCTGCTGTTTTCCACGTAGCATCTGGCGGGAGTCAGTATCCCAGCATGACGCAACAGCTGGGTAACGGTCACAGCGCTCCTCTGCTGTTTCCTATTAACCATCCGATTGCTGCAGCGCTGCTACAGCCTTAAAACCTGAGTCACGCCACATCACACACCATGATGAGCTGACACACAGATGCTTGGTAAAAGGATGGAGGAGTTAACCAGGGAGACGGACCAGCACAGAGAGAAGAGTCATGCTCTCGTCACACTGATTTCCAATAAGATCTTATGATGGGAGCTTTAGTTCAACCCAGTAAGGGTGAGGTTAGCTGTCTACATGTAAAAAACTCTCTCTTTTACTACATCAAGCTCCTGATTTAATGCAAACATTTTTGCTATTGCTATATTACAACTCAAAAACAAAAACACAAGAATTAAATGGAAACTGCTGATGCTCAAATTGACCATGCTGTTATATCCAATTATCTATTTAACTGGAAATAATCTAAATGCCAAGAGGAAATCATGTCTTGCTTTCCCGGTGGTGTTTCTCTCTATAAATGTTGAATAGTCGACAAACTTGAACAGCAGCCGTAAGGCTTTGCTCTGAGGGTGTTTCAGATTTTACATTTTAAAATCCAACACTTAAACCTTTTCAGTAGTTTTTACAACTTTATGGATATCTTTGGGTACAAAAACTTTACATACTAATAGCGGTGAAATAATCCATTATTGAATCAAGTGTCCGGTTAAAGGGCTATTTCACTGTTTTCTTTACTATCTGCATTTCAGGTTTGTTAGCTCTGTTCTGTACTGGGTTCTCTTAAACTATATTTAGTTCTTTAAACCACATGTTTAAAGAGTCTGCAATAAACCAAAACTGGGGCCGTTTACTCTTGTGACCTACAGAATGAGTATTAAACTATTCTGAATGACTGTGACTAAAACCCTTAATCTGATATAAGGAGTCCTTTATTCTAAAGCAGATCAGTTTTTAGAGCAGGGCAAAAATGGCCAAGCTGTAAAAACTGTTTTTTTAAAGCATTAAGCTAAACATTGTATATAAGAATTTAAAGTAGACGTTTATAACATTTGTTTCAGATTTTTGCTTTTGTTGAATGAAACAAAAAAAAAAAAAAAAACTCTTTGGGTGTTTTTTCACATCTGTTTGGTATAGAAAGTGCTTTTAGTCTGGTCCTTGTCTGTTTTGCTCTTTGTTGTCTGCTCAGATGTTTAGGGGAGACAACAATTTCAGAGTAGAATGAAAAAATGATTGGCAAGGGACCCTGAATGAATGACCTTAAAGACGGTGCAAGAAAATCTCCAAACCCTAAGGGATACAAAATTCATCCAGGAGAACAAACTAACAGTGGACTGTGGGCAGACAGGCAGACAAAGACTTCTCCCATCCCCACGGCTCTCCTACAGTTTTACAGACATGAAAGTGAACAGCAACCATTGTTCCTCTTTGAAAGACACAAACAGATAATAGCCAGAGCTTTTCTATGATGTGCACCAGGTACTCACCAGGCTGCATGTCTATTGATTCAACATGCTATAGTTGCTGCTATTGATGCTTCAGTGTCTGATGAAGAAATATCTTATTCATCTATTCTTTTTTTTTTGTCATTCTTGGTTGATGAAACAATATTACAGAGAAGATAGGAAATGCACGTAAAGTTTTCAAATGTACCAAAATAAATACTTGGAAACAACAGTTTCAGAGTAAGTAAAATCCTTAACCTTTTCGGAAATTGCATAAAAAGGTGGTATATGATCTTGGTCTATTTGTTAGCGTGATAGTTTGATTGTGTAAACATATAGATTAAAAGTACCTGCCTTACAGTCTTACTAAAAAAAATCCTAGAAAAAAGATAAAAGACACTAACTAGTTAACTAGAAATCCACTGGGTAAGACTGATGTCAAGTTTTTATTTAAGGGCTACATCCACATGAAGTCTGATAAGGTTTCAACCAGGCCTTTCATTTGCAATTTAATCCTGATTTACCAAAACACAATTTATTAAATCAGAGTGCTCAATTTTGGTCGCAGTACATTTAACAAAAGAAGGACACTAAATTAGAAGGAAGCAATTTTTCGCACAAAGGTTAGGGATACAGCAATGGCCTCTGACAAAGCAAGCTTTCAAGATCATAATAAAAACTACTACCCTACAATAAAATATCTAAAAGATTGTGGCTAATGCAAAGGGAAATCCAAATGAAATCACGATCCCAATATTCGTTAAAAATAATCGCAATTATCAAAAGTACTGAACTTAATTGGCATGCACGCTCAAATACAG